GAGTGAGTGAACTAGAATTTTTATCATCTCATCAATGATTTTATGATTGAACTAGAAAATCAATGGATGACATATCATAGTTCTTTGATCAATATCTCTTGTTGTTTTGTTTTTTTTCTTTGAATTGATAAATATGATTGGCAAAATTAGAAGATCATTATTCATTGATAGTTGTTGTTTTGTGATTTTTATCTTGATAAATAGTTTATTTATACTAGTTTGACTGAATATTTTTTTAGATTAGTTTATTTGGATACAACATTTTCACAATTCGATGATAAGTTCTACTTTTCGTAAATTGTTAAGGAGTGGAGTGGCGCTTTGTTTTGTGGTGTAGGAGTAGGTTGGAAGAAAGCTAGGGGCGGCCAAACCAAAACATGGCAGAAATCTATGAAGTCACTGACAAGTGGACTGAGTCATGTTGGTAGATGTAGACTACCTGGTTGGGGTCCGCGAGACGAAAGTCACAAATGGTTAGAGACCTTGAACGACATGACTCAGAATCGTTTGCAATGGCGCAGGTGCATCCACTCTTTGTGTTCTTTGAAATTCTAACCTTCTGAATTCCTCATAATCTCTATCTTTCTCCTTCTAAATTTATCTCACGAATTATACTTCTCGAATGATATCTTTGCTCCCTAATCTTCTCGATTACTGATAATACTTCTACTATCGCTATCACTCCTGGATTTGAACTGACAGTTGCGTCTCTGTGCTGATGTGGTATGGCAACCTGAACTGATGTACTTATGTACGAAGTCCTGCGTTGTATCTGTCTGTCTGTCTGGGGAGGCGCTAGATTAAATGTTTTGTAACCGATTTTGAACAGTCTTACCACTGTAAGCATTTCTTTCATCTGATTGAATCAATTAGTTTATCAGAACAATGACCGAAATCTGAACTTACATAATATCTGATACTCTTAAAGTTTTATCATTAAGTCTTTAAACTCATTAAATATTTTCGAAACAATCAAGACCACTGGTTGATCTTACATCTAACTCTCTCTGTATACAGATTGTCTTTGTTTAATGGTACTGATTACACTTAATCTGTCATTACATTCATGGTATTCATGTTTTTAGTATTAAAGAAATTAGATTTGAAATGACAATAGACATTTAACGAAGAATCAAAAAAGTGGTTTCTAAGAGTCGGATGAATAGATAACAGTGTTGACTATATGTTTAGTTAACCAGAACCTCTGGTGAATTGCCAGTTGATGTGATAATATGATTGTATACTCAAATGATTATCGTTTGTTTGGATATTTTCGATAAAGCTTCCAGAACTATAACTGACTAAGAAACTTTAAGTCCCGTACCGAAACTAAGCCTACATTAAAATTTAAATTGTATTCTCACTTTTTCATTTGTTGGAGAAGCTGAAGGGTCTTAGAGTGATGAAAACAATGTGTGAAAGCAATGATCTCCATAACTCTAATTGAAAAATCATACAATGTGCTCACTAGTCACTAGCTTTGTGAGGAAATTCTCGGAGTAGAGTTCAACCCTGTCGAGTGCATGCAGTAACTACCGAAGATAAATGAATGAGGTCGGGCGAAATCCCTAGTTTGATCAGAGTTAGACATTAAAACAGTTGGATGCCCGCCCAGTGGTCCAGAGGTAAGGCGTCCGCGCGCAAGGTCCTGGGTCCGAATCCTACGAGTAGCAGGGGTCGTGTATGCTCATTGCTGATGAGTCCCATACCGGGAAGAAACGGCCGTCCGGTGCTCCCAGATTTCTAATGGTGATCTAACAATGACTGATTAATGATTTCTATGTGTAAAAGCACTATAAACCATCCAGAAAGTCAAGATAGCATCCGTTATATGCATCAAATTTAATAAAAGCTGTTACTGAAATAATTCACATCGTGAACAAATTGTTTTTGGATAACGAATAGCTTTCTTTACTTTAATATTAAATACGTATTGTCAGTGAAATGTCATTGGGTCCTTACGAAATCATCCGGCACGTCGGTCAGTGAACGCCAAGACCAAGCACAACCAACATGCATTAATCAATTACATGACATGGACAGGTGCACACAGTAGTGGTTCGCTTCGTACTTCCATTAACTGTTAAAACTAATATATGCTATCACTTATTCTAAACAGTCACCTAGTTATCACGGCAGCATAGTCCATGTTAAGTATTAACTGTGAGGAGTGATTTCTACGTAAGCTAGGTCACATCGTTCCCATAAAATTCGAGTAAGCCCACAATCATCGGTAAAGACCACCTACGTTAGTGAACCAGAAATTTATAGTTCTTTAGATTACTCAAAATGAATTTAAGGTTTTAAATGTTCCCAGTAATAATAAAATGACAAAAATAGGAATAAAACACAATAACACCGAATAAAGATCATTCATCATATAGTACCGATATATTTGAAGCAACTAACTGACTCAGTCGATTGTTAATAAAAGTATTTAGAAACTCAGTGAAAAAAAATAGTGACATTTAGTTAATTTCATATGTAACACATCTGAAAAAAAATCTCTTAAGCTATTGTTAAATAAGCATTTGAACTTTTTGAGGCAAAACTCGAATAGTTTCTTGTGAATTTATCTGGATGCGTGTGGATATAATAAGCGCTTTAGGTTGCTAAGCCATCTCAATTTTAATCGTAAGCTTCTATGGTTAAGTATCTCTAAAGGATCGATATATTTCCGATGCATTTCAAACTTATCAGCAATATCCTCCTTCCAAATGGGATTGACTTCAGGACTTTTAGGTCTCGTGATGGGGTGTTAGAGAGTTAACAAATATTTTGATTGGCTAGATGCAGAAAAAAGATCGGTACAGGAATTTTGACATACTTAGCTAGTACTTAAAAATTCTTTCTAATTGTCTAAGCTATTTGATGTGTACCATTAATTATCCTTTTTTAAAATTTGAACCTATTAAAACTAAGTAACCGAGTGCAGGTTTTCGTACGCTGAAACGACACCATGGTGTTGATCGTGAACACTTTGAAAGTGACCTTGATATTATCAGCCAATAAGCGAACAGAGAGTCAAGATAAGGACTATGGATAAAAAAGATAATGTCAATGTCATACATAGAAAGATTTTATCAAACTTATGAGTTTTCCAAAGTTTGTACAAAAATTCTACCGAACGTTGTATTTGAGTTATTGATCACATTAAAAATACTTTTATCAACAGTTTCCCCATAGTTTTCACAGTACTTATGCACACTCACTGATAGGCTGACGAACCAGTGATCTAGAGACCATGTAAATTAAACTCATGGCTTGCCCAAACAATCCAAACGACAAAAACAAGCCTATTATTTATTCCACCAGTAATAAAACGCTTTAGTTGAGAGCTTCAATTAAACAAAGAACAAACAAAGTCCTGGTGTATTTCTTTAATTGTTACAGTCAGGAATTTTGGATTAGTATTATGATTTTAAAGTTAGTGTTAAGGCCTTTAGTTCGGGAAAATGGTTAGAAATAGAGCAAGGGAACATTTCTAGATATATCACTGACTATGAATATCAAGAAGCCATAGTTACATTTATAACTTCATAAACTTTGGTCTGTTTTTGATTAGTCTTATATACAATGTTTATCAGTCATGAGTGTCTTAGCCAATGAATATCAATAGGGTGTTAATTAGCGCTTAATAAGGCTTGAGTTCATGCATTCGCCTCCGATACTAAACAAGTATGCATTGTGCGGCATCGAGCATTTTTTTCTTCGTTCTTTTAGTAATATATGTTGTATCTAGGACTGTTATCTGCACTGAAGATTTCATTTTAAAACCTAATGTTGACTACATTTCTGCTTTTCATCCGCCATGTTGTGATGCGCTACACTGATGTGTCCATAGAAGACAGATATGAGCAGTTTCAGATTTTTCAAATCTTTAACGAAACCCACGCGCTTATATACAGAATCGACGGGTAAATGTGCGAAAATACTACAAACCGCACAATTCTTGATTATTGGAGAGGCGGATAGATAAAATTTACCGTTTAAATTTTGTGCGAAAATCCAATATCCACTGACCTAGATTTGACTAGTTAATCAGTGAAGAATACTTTCACCGAATCGAAATCAGGAGTGTGCTCTTTGTTCAGTTATATTGTTATACCATATATTGTCTGTTATATCAATATCACAGTAAACTTATTTGTATTATCCCGCAGCTGATTAAGCAAAAAGGTATCTCCTATTCACAAACTAAATGCCACCTGAGACTACTCTTCGCCTAATTTTAACTAAGCACCTGAAATTCACAGGATTATGATTTTATTGTCAGTATGATATAGTTTATCCTTATGTAATTAGGCTTCAGCAATACTTCTTGACCAAATCCTAATGATGAAATGCCAGTGACATGTGTTGCTTATACCTAACCGCTGACTACCTCATCGAGCTATGTTTTGCGATATAGGAATAGGTTGGAAGAAAGCTAGAGGCGATCAAACCAAAACATGGCACGAATCTATGAAGTCACTGACAGCTGGATTGAGTCATGTTGCTAGGTGTCGACTACCTGACTGGGGTTCACGAGATAATAGTAATCGATGGTTAGAGATCCTGAATGACATGGCTCAAAATCGTTTGCAATGGCGCAGTTGCATACACTATTTGTGTTCTCTCGAACTCTAACATCTAAATTCCTCATCACCTTTATCTTCTTCTTTTTAAGTCCATTTCACTAGATTCTACTTTCTGAATAATATCTTCGAACCCTAATCTTTTTGATTACTGCTAATACTTTTACTACCTCTACTACTATGGGATTTGAAGTGACAATTGCATTTCTGTGCTAATGTAATATGGCAATCTGAACCTATGTAAGTGCGTACAAGGTTCTATGTTGTTGCTGACTTGACTTGAAACGATAAGAGATATTTGTAGGGTTAGAGAGAGGGTTAATAAGACAAATTCATTTATCCAATAAACTATATAATCTTATTACTACATCAAGAACAATGTTTAATAATAATAACAATAATAATAGAAATGAAATATCTTACCTGTTTAATGGTAGATTCTGTTTATCCACTAATTTCTCCACATAAACATTCTGATGTTCATCAATTGAACATTGATCTTTTTGTAATTCATAATCTTGTTGAAATAAATGATTATTATTAGTATTATCGTTTAATTTATCGAATTCATCAGTATTATTATTGTTATTCATTAGATTTTGAAATATTTCTTGAACATCTTTTGGTAAATTAGTGCAGTGATTAGGTCTAATAGTGATTGTTGTTGGCGTTGGCGTTGTTGGTGATAGTGGAGTTGTCGACATCAGTAATTGATTATTCAACGGATGCTTTTCTTCGCCAAATGCTGACATCAGTGGTGAAGTGTACTTACGTGATGGTTTAATATCCAAAATAGTCTTATAGCTGACAATCGACTCGTTCTGTGGTTGAGGTTGTTGTAGTAGTTGTTGTTGTTGTTGATGTACATGATGAGTCTTTTCATTTTCAACATGATAATGATGATGATGATGATACATCATTGTTTCATTATTATTCAATGATAATTTTGAAGAATTGTAATTCACTAAATAACTCATATCATTAGTAATAAGTGGAGGAGTAGTCGTTGTGATTTCATTTGTTATATTTAATTGTGTTCTAATATGTTTAATTGCTTTACTAATTTGATCCTTTACACCCATGTGTAAACGAAATGGAAAAAAATAAATGTTTAAACACATTAATTACAAATCATCATCATAATAATAATAATCTTATTTACTAGTTTGCTATAACAATGACACAGATATTTTATTTATTTATACCATTTAAAAATTTTCTTTTTGAACTAATGATTAAATTTGACTGCAAATATCATCATATTGTTTATGATGAATGTATCACACACAAAGTTCAATGATCAATGTATTTTGTTTTAATTAAAAGATTCAATCTTCATTTCAACGTGATCGGACAAAAATACTAAGGGGTTTTATTGGGTTTTTTCAAAATAATAATAAAATCAAACTCTTTTAATTTAGACTAGATAATTATTCCACTGTTAACATGGTTAAAAATATTTGATAAACTAGTTTAAACAAGAAATTATTGAACTTTTTTTACACACATAATTTTTAAAAAAAAAAGAAATTTAAAAGAAAAAAACCCAATTATTAATACAGACTAATTTGTAATTAATTAATTAATTAAGTAGTATTGTTCCCAATGATTAACAAAATCATTCAGTGATTGCAACAAAAATAATAATAAAAAAAAAGGAGATCTAATCAAGCTTGATTATTTGTCATTTCAACTATCTTGATCGATAAAAATTTTAGAAAAAAAAACACTCATGCTATTTGTGAGCAACAATAGAAATTTTACAAACGTCACAAGATCTGGTAAATAATAAATAATAAAAAAGAAAGGAAAAAGGAAAAATGAAATTTCATTGATAGATAAAATAAGAACCTCAAAGCTAACAATTAGAAAATATTGGATCTGGGGATGTTATGAATAGTTTATGAGAAAAACATTGTCTCTTATCATAGATTATAGTTCAGTAGAGTTTGAATAAAACACCAGGAAGATTATGAAGTATATATATATATATATATATATATATATATATATGTTGCCCTAATCAGAATTCATTATTTGATGGAATATATATCATCCGGCGCCGGTCAGTTAGTCATCAGTCATCAACAGACAACTCGGTAGAAATATGCATTCATCCGATGTGTCACATGATATCAGTAAAGTCAAATGAGATCATCCGGATGAATACCGAAATAGGATCAGTAAAAAAACACTGTCATGCTAATAAAAGAGATTAGCCATATAGGATATAATTTAAGAATTAAGAAGGAATTCGTGTCATAGAAGCTAGAATCTTATTTAAAAACTGATGATCTAAAGGAAGGCAGGAAGTTTGATTGATCAAACCACTCATGAATAAATAAGCGTTTTATCGAAGCTACTACGGAGAAAATTATCGAATAGAAATGAAAATTAACAATTCTAACCCCCCTTTCGATGGTCAGTTAATTATGTTCTGTATCAGAGTAATTCATACTCTATTCAATTTTATTATACTACACGAATGTATATACGTAGATATCAGATTATCAGGCTTAGTATCTTTTAAAAAAACAACCTATCTACTACGCAAGTTAGATTCACTATACTTCATAACATTTTTCTTTTTGTTAAATTTAAGAGAAAATAATAAAATTTGAAGTTGTTGGACAAACTGTAATATAATTAACTTTTTATGCTTCATAGAATGTAAAATGCTAGCTAGATAGAGTAAGTAAATTGTACAATCAAATCTTCAGTCGTCACTGATCGATTATTGAAAGTTTCGAAAATATATTATTTCGTTTAGAAAATCTAACCTTTATAGATGAAATGGAAGAAACTGAATTTAACAAGTTCAATAATTTATTAAAACTTCATACAGTTGTTACTTTGATACTAACATTTGCTGGTCACAAACAATTACTGGTAAAAAACTGAAGAACAGAGTTCGCACTTAGACACTCATTTAGATTATTCTGGTCATGTATAAATTCGTATTGAATTCACGAGAAATATTAGTATCATTTATGGTGGAGAAGATTTGTAGCTCAGGTGGATGATTGTGGTGTTGGTGTTTGGTTCTCTGAGCTGGGTGTTTTGGTTGTGAAGCTTTCATTGTTCTTTTGAACAACATCATCAGCACAAACTTCAGATAGAAGTTAAGCATTCAAATTTCTCCACGTTTGACCTGTAGCTTGTTTAAGGTTTAAGGTCAACAGCAACCAATCAAGATCGAGGCTAGCAGAACAAGCTACAGGTCGAACATGGAGAAATTCGAATGCTTCACTTCTATCTGAAGTTTGTGCTGATGATGTTGTTCAGATGAACAATGAAAGCTACACAACCAAAACACCCAGCTCAGAGAACCAAACACCACCACCACAGTATCATTTATACCTGTATTGAACATTGATGAAGTTATACAGAGAAGTAAAATGAAATTTGAGCAATTTAACCATTTAAGTTTATCGAACGCAACACCATTATTACACCGAAACACTAGCTGAAGTCCAGTTAATTTTGAACAGAAAAGATTATTTACTCAATTTTTCCTTCTGTTTTTTCTGTTAAGTTGACCACAGATTAGAACTCTATATGACAATAGTTGAACTACTGTATATCAAACACAAATTAAAAAGCATTTGACTTGAACAATGTTTTCATCTATGTCACTATACAAGAGCAAGAGTTCTTAGCTACATTTCAAGGATCGTTTAAGGAAGATAAAATTACTTTTTTTGGGTAAAAACCATAAGAGATAAATTCACATTCAATGAAATACTGATAACATTCAGTGATTATTGATTAGACAGATTAATAAACTGAATAAATACCACACCTGAAGGAAAAATAAACAAAAAATTAATGAATACAATAAAAATTCACTAAAAAAGCCAATCAATAAATCAATAGATGAATTAAAAGATTGATTTCTACCGAACACACTGCTGCATTTGAAGAACTAACATTCTACCTACACAGTAAGAAGTTAAGTGTTCGCTCGCGAGAGAACGAAAGCTCTGGATTCTCTACTCTCGCTTATGGAGTCGTGAATGTGCACTAATGATGAGTAGCATTCTAGAATGCAACAGCTATCCAGGGCTACCAGGTTTCTCTAATGGTGGTTTAACATTATTGATCGATTCATGATTTCAATGAAACTCAACAGTCTTCACAACTTTATTGACAATAAATAAGAGTTGTTTATTATAGAAAAATAACAGTAATATTTCCTTCGACCTAATCCTCCTAAAGGATACACAAAATATCTCATTTCAAAAAAACACAAAACAAAAATACTGTTGATAATTCTTTTTCAAAAATCAATAATTTTTTTGTTCATATTAAGTTATTATGATTTTAAATTGAAAAAAAAACTTTTTTTTAATGATCAGGAAATGGAGGGGAAAAAAATCAATCAGACATCAGATAGATAGATATTCGCCAAAATTCTTATTGGGAAACAATCAATTAATATCATGAAATATTAGTTGTGTTTAATTTTTTTTCCACGATTATTTTCGAAAATAGTTTTTAATTGAATGTATAAATTTACAAAAAAAAATAAATAGCATTCGTTAGATGACAAAAAAAGGATTGAATAATTACTTGAGTTTTTTTTACACAATCTTCATATATTTTTTTAATGATGAACTGATGGTATCTACTGGACTACCATTGAAATCTAAAATATATTAAAAAGTTGCTTAGTTCGGATTATGGATTTGTTTGCAGTGTATACATATGCAGCCATAGATAGGATGGATCCTAAGGAGTGGAACTATTTTCTGTGAAATGATCTGTAATTCTGTAATCCTCTATAATCTCTCTTTATAGTATGGAATATATATTTTGTGATCTTTATTTGCAATGATCACTGTGTAGTGTCACTGCTTTTTTTCGGGCAAAGTTTTGGAGGTTTGTGTTTTTACACATTTGAAATCATCAATCAATCATTGTTAGACCACCATTAGAAACCTGGAAGCACTGGACAGCCGTTTCGTCCTAGTATAGGACTCATCAGCAGTGCGCATCCACGACTCCTGCACCTCGCGGGATTCGAACCCGCGACCTTCGGTATTGTGCTCGAATGCCTAATCATCACTGCTTTTTATTTATTTAACTCTACAAGTCTTAATTTCTTATTAGAACCTCAAGAAATCCAACTAAGCTAAATAGACTTATAACCAAATTTATTGTACAAATAATGTATCATCTCAAAATTGATGGTGGTTTGAAACAGTATAAAGATGATGAATAAATTTATGTGTCGTAAAAAAACTTTACGACTGCTGAAGTAATATTAACTTCATGTTATTTAATCATTTGAATATACAAACAAATGGACAACAAAATAAATGTACGCTGAATTTGTGTGTGGGTTAGAATATTGTCCGGATGTCTAAGTCGAAGCAGGTGATTTTCTTACAGGGCCACTTTCTGGGCTTTTAACCCGAAGGCTTCGTCCACAAAGTATTGGACCAACATCAGGAGATGCAGTGCCATGGTAGCCGGTGACCAAAAATAGATCCATACTCCGTTTGTTCCATCAAGATTTTGCGGCCTATGTGCACCAGTAGTTTGGAATCAGGGTTTATCAATTCAATTACATAGATCTTCTAAACCCATCAATTAGGTCTAAGCATCTGCCGAACATTCGTTATTCGCCCTCTCGATTTCATAAGTAACAGGTCCGCTACGAAATGAGTAGCATGCGCGGCCAAACTGGAACATTTCGACAGGGAGAGTGAACTCTCCACACTCTCAGCCGTACCAGATAACTTGGTAACAAAAAAGCGCCTATCTGTGGGGGAACACAAACCCACAACCTCCGAAACAGAAATCTAGGTGGGGGTGTGATAACTCTTAGACAATTAGTACGTGCCTGACGAAATTCGAATTCCCTTGTCACTGTAATCTTTTGATGAAAAAGAAATCCAGTCTGTCAACTACACCAGAGACCAATTAAAAGATGATTAACTTCTCACACTAGCTACTTAACGTTGATTTTTAATGGAAGGGAAGATACAGGACAGAGATTAGAGGAATACAATAAAAAAAGCTAATAACTCTCACTATTATGTCGTCGTTCCGCTATACTCAATACTTAAGTGTCTCTGAAGCCTCATTACCAATTGGAAGATGTAGTTTAGAAAGATACTGGTCCTAAACTAGACATGACGACTAAGAAGAAACATGCCAGTAAGCATATAAGTGAGTTACTATTCTAAACCAAAACGATAGAAGTAATAAATTTCTACATTGTACAGTCGTCTGCGTATGATACTGTTATATAAGTTTCCTATTCGCATGCCCAAACTAGGTATTTGGATGGGAAAATCAAGAAGAATAAACTGCTTCTATTCACCCACCGAACCGAGAATAGGTGCACAATTTGTTCATACATATAGACATATGTCCCTCAGAAAATGAAGGCAACCAGTTGTGCATGATTATACTTCTAGAAACTGGATCTAAATCTGGAATAATAATGTGAACTCGCCAGTACTTCTCATTTACCATTCCATCTTTGTCTCATTTGCTTCATTTTAATAAAACATTAAAAAATCCATGTATGTTCAAATTCCATCTTTGTCAAGGACCGAAAATGTCAAAGAAGAATATGCACAAACGTCCTTAGTAAACTAACTTACTTACTTATTTTTGCCTTTTACACCCAATGGAGCATACGCCGCCCACCAGTTTTCTCCAACCTACACTGTCCTGGGCTTCATTTTCCAGCTCTGTCCAATTTTCGTTCATTCTTCACATGTCTTTCTCTATTTCTCGGCGTAATGTGTTCCATGGCCTTCCTCCTTTCCTTTCACCTTGAGGGTTCCAAGTGAGAATGTGTCTTGTGACGCAGTTGGGAGCTCTCCGCAATGTGTGTCCTATCCATTTCTACCACTTCTTCCTGATTTCCTCCTCCACTGGAATCTGACTTGTTCTCTCCCACAGTAAGTTGTTGCTGATAGTTTCCGGCGAACGAATCCGAAGTATTTTGCGTAAAATAAACTGTTAATAAACACTTGTATCGTCTGGATGATGGCTTTCGTAGTTCTCCAGGTTTCCGCTCCATACAGTAGAACTGTCTTGACATTTGTATTGAAAATCCTGGTTTTGGTTTTGGTTGAAATTCGTTTGGAGTTCGAGATATTTTTCAACTGTGGAAGTGCAGCCCTCGCTTTGCCGATCCGTGCCCTCACATCTTCATCGGATCCACCTTTCTCGTCGATGATGCTGCCCAGATATGTAAATGTGTTAACGTCTTCCAAGGCATCTCCATCAAGAGTGATTTGGTTGGCGCATTTTGTGTTGCATCGGAGAATTTTGCTTTTTCCTTTATGTATGTTGAGACCTACTGCTGCAGAGGCTGCTGCTACACTGGTCGTCTTCTCTTGCATTTGTTGTTGCGTGTGCGATAGAAGAGCAAGGTCATCTGTGAAGTCCAGATCGTCCAGCTACATCCTAGCTGTCCACTAAATACCGTGCTTCTCTTCAGATGTAGACGTTTTCATAATCCAGTCGATCACCAGGAGAAAGAAAAAGGGTGAAAGAAAAAAGTGTCGAAGAAGCTTCTATAGCGTTGTCCTGTCCACGCTATCAAATGCTTTCTCGTAGTCGATGAAGTTGATGTAGGGTGGTGAGTTCCATTCAGTTGATTGTTTCACAATGATCCGTAATGTTGCAATTTGGTCGGTACACGATCGATCCTTACGAAATCCAGCCTGCTGATCTCGAAGTTGGGCATCTACGAAGTCCTTCATTCTGTTTAACAATACCCTGTTGAAGACTTTGCATGTTATTGAGGGAAGAGTGATTCCTCTCTGGTTCTCACATTTGCTGAGACCGCCTTTCTTTGGTATTTTGATCAGGTATCCTTCTTTCCAATCTGATGGTACTTTTCCCTCATCCAAAATCTTCTTGAAGAGGTTTTGAAATATTTTCGCAGTTGCTTCTACATCTGCTTTCATTGCCTCTGCCGGAATGTTGTCTGGTCTTGCTGCCCTTGATTTGCCTGATGGCCATGCTGACCTCCTTAATTGTAGGTGAGCCAAAAGGTCCGTGGATGCTGCTTCGATGTTGGGTGTGTTCAGTGGAGCTGGTCGATTAAGGAGTTCCTGAAAGTGTTCTACCCACCTATTTCGCTGTTCTTCAGTGTTGCTAATTACTTTGCCTTCCTTACTTTTCACTGGTCGTTCCGGTGAGCTTCTTTGTTGTTTCGTACAATTGTCCCAAGTTTCCATCTCTTGCAGCCTTTTCCGCCGTCATTGCTAGATCTTCCACATATTTTCGTTTGTCAGCTCTGATGCTCTTCTTCACTTCCCTGTTTGCTTCTGTGTATGCAACTTGTGCGGTAACTTTCTCTGCTCTTGTTCGGCTGACGTTGATTGCTGCCTTCTTGTTCCTACTTTCTTCAGTTTTTTCAAAAGTACCAACAGACATCCAATCCTTGTGATGGTACTTCCTGCGACCCAGAACTGCGTGGCATGTTGAAGTGATTGTCTCCTTGATCCCTTTCCAATTGTTCTCCAATGTTGTGTCCTCTCAATTGAGTAGATCCTGAAAGGCCTGGAACCTATTGGTGAGGGCTATCTTGAACTCATTGAGTTTTACGGTATCCCAAAGAAAGCCTGTATTAAACTTGTGTGATGTTTTCTGTCCCGTTGTCCAGTGTTTCTTGAGTTTCAGTTTCATTTCAATGACCAGCAAGTGGTGATCTGAGGCTATATCAGCTCCTCTCTTCGTTCTCAGATCCTCCATCGTCCTTCTGAACTTTTTATTGATACATATATGGTCGATTTGGTTCTGAGTAGTGTGATCCGGGGAAATCCATGTAGCTTTATGTATGCGCTTGTGTGGGAATATTGTGCCACCGACGTCCAGTTTGTTGAAGTCACATAGGTTTGCAAATCTCTCACCGTTTTCGTTCCTTTCTCACAGTCCATGTAGTTCCATGATGTCTTCATATCCAGTGTTGTCTATGCCAACCTTGGTATTCAGGTCTTCCATCAGAATGGTGAAATCATTGGTGCGCATCTGTCGACGATTGACTACAGCCTTTCGTAGAATTGATCTTTAACGTCGTCATTGTAGTCATTGGTAGGTGCACAGCATTGGATGACGTTCATCGTAATGTCCTCTTTCTTTGTTTTGAAGGATGTTTTGATGATCCTGGGTCCATAAGATTCCCAACCTATCAATACCTTTTGTGCATGTTTGGACAGCATCAGTGCAACTACTTGTGTATGTGAAGCATTTTCCTCTTCATGACCAGAGTATAACAGCAGTTCCCCTGAAGTTAGTTTCAGTTGTCCTACTTGTGTCCAATGTGTTTCACTGATGCCGAGCACCTCGAGGTTGTATCTTTTCATTTCTGTCGCAACTTGAAATTGTCTTCCAGTCTCCCACAATGTTCGAACGTTCCATGTACCTAAAAGAATGGCTGCCCGGGCTGTCAGGGTGGCTTCGGCTTCGTGACTTCCGAGGGAACTAGGCATTCATCATGAGTCGTCATAACTCTTCTGAAAGAAGACTTTCTAACTGCCAGGGCAAAGTTAAAATGGTTTGAATTATTTGTTCTGGTAAGCGTTTTTTTAGCGAGTTGGTTTTTTTGTGGGATGGAGTCGCCAATCCCATGCCCAACCCTCTTCCTTTGTCCGGGCTTGGGGCCGGGAGTAGCCCCGGAGGTGCTCCAGACAGATTTCGTTAGTAAACTAAGGTTATTTGAAATATTTACATCTGTCACGTTATTTACTAGCAGGAATCAGTCAGAACAGTGTCAACAGATAAGTGAAGAAAAAAGAGCAAAAAGCTTTATAAAATCAGTCAAATTGAAGTTATAACAAATAACTTATATTCTACTACTACTAATGATACTGTCACCACTTATACTATTCTAATATTTAGTTCTGTTGATAGAATGTCATAACTTGAACCGATGTACATATGTATCATGTCCTGCTTTATGCGTATAATTAACAAATTAATTTAATTGCTTGCATATTTTATGAGTAGTTCAATGACTGTAGATTACAAATTTAAACAGCAAATAATATACAGCATCATTTTGACTTACTTTTGACAGATCATATTCATTTGTAGTTGCATGTTCTTGCAGTATAGTATTCACATTTCTAAAATGTATTATTTTTTTTAAGAAATATTTCATAACTTACTTATCAGTAAGAACACCACGTGTTAATACATCATCAGTCACAGAAGATATAAATTTCAAATAGTTGACTTCATTCTTTCTGTGTTGTAGATAGATACATATTTTTTTTGATTTGAAAAATAATACAAAATAAAAATAAAAGCAACGTTTTTATGATGATTGTTTAACTCAAACAGGAAGTAAACTAGCTCTAGACAAAAGAAGTTATACTGGGAATTTTTTTCTTATACAATCGGAATATTATTCATGATGAAAATGAATATTAATTTTGAAGAAATAGTTTATAACTGCGAAAAGATTGGAAACGATCATTCGTTTGATCATAGAATAAAGAAAAATTTCTAAATTCATGCCTATACTTAATAATCAGATAAATCATTCACTATTTAAGAGGTTTAATCGAATCTACAGGCGGTTTGATCACAGACAAAACATTAACTGAGGTAATTTTAAAAAGCAACTGTATTATCCTGATTTGTGACTCAATATTAATTGCATCCCTTTACACGATTTTATACTCAACTGTTGTGGTGTTTCGTTCTCTGAGCTGGGTGTTTCGGTTGTGGAGCTTTAGTTGTTCAACCAGCTCAGAGAACGAAACACCACCACAACAATCATCCACCTGAGCTACAAATTTTCTACACCATTTCAAAATCATATGATAGTGATACGCTTCTCGTTGTTCAAAAACTGGAGAATTTCGCCAAAAGGCAGGCTTCCACTCGAGAACAACTCTACTTTCTCCACGAATGTCTTCGTCAGTATGTTCTGCCAACCAGTGTTAGATACAGACCACCAATCAACTGCCTAGTGGGATGGAGGATAGTGGAGCAAAGTGGAAGACAAATGGTACAACTAACGATCATCGATGCACACTACAGGATTAACACATACCAGCACAACGTGGATGAACAGAAAATAAAACTAGGGAGAATTTATACTCAACGGCACGCTCGAAATCTGGTATCACACAGGAGGATGATATACTATTGATCTGCTCAGTTATATTTTCATTTTCAGTAAACTCATAATCTTGTTTGATTTATATTTCATAACAATGATGAATTACTGTCTCACTTCTGACATTATTGAATTCTTCTGATCATAGCGTAGAACGTTATTCTATGATGGACATAAACCTCCAGTAACTGATAAAAATCTCCACAGATCTAATCCTATTGAAATTTTATGAGAATAATGATGATAAATAGGATTACATTTGATTTTAATCGTGCTAGTATAATGGACGAAGACTAGTAAGAAGACACAGTTTACTAACAAAATGTGTACACTTTATCTTCAGACTTCCATTTGCAAAGCAAGTAAACTATAGACTGTCGTTTATTTTTTTCATATCTTCCAGTCTTCAAAGCACTTTGATCATGCCATACATCTGGATCCGACACTTTTTCTCCGATTGTAACTTCTACCGGACATTTTACTGCATACTACTTAGAACACACATAAACACTTAGAACACACCCACAGTAAGTGAGAAACACTGACAACAGTAGAAATTCAAACTGTAGTCAAGTGAAATTCTTATAATTACGAAACAATATGAACGACTGACGTTTCTTGATTATTCATATTGACAAATTTCACACAAAATCTTAAGTTTAGAAAAAAAACGCCTTAAAGGGAGTATGTTATTGTGAATCTTTACGTCTGTGTGTGTGTGCAGATTTAGCAATGTAGGATAAGGTATCATGTAGTCAGCACAATAGTTCAATTGTAATCAGAATGTTTTTTGACACCTTATTGATGAGTATGAAATAGCACTAAACCTAGGTCCTGTCAACTATTTTCCACCACCATCTCAGTATAGTACTTGTGATGTCAAGGTCACCTGACCCGGCGATCATATTGGAACTTGATCGATAGAATTTGTTCAACACCAAGAAAGATTAAACATACATACATGTCATTAGTCACAACTCAGTGACCAATCAACTATAACTATTATTGCTTTATTAATCTTTACAGATGAGAACATTCCTGATATTATGGTATCAGTAAACTGATACTATTCATTCTAGGTTTTAAGTAGCTGAAGAGAAAATGAAATAAAAATGTATATTACCTCGTTTTGCTTTTCTTGCACTATCAAAAAGTTTTATACAACAAACTTAACAAATTAATTAATTAGATTTCTTGAACCAATAAAAACTTTTTCTTGAAACAGATTATCAGCCACGTGTTAATATACTTAAAATTCCTTTTCCACATTTCTTCAAACATTTATATTAAAACAGAAGGGAATTTTATGATTTATGAAGCTAACAAAAAAACCAATTTAATTATTTAGAGATTGGCCGAAGAGAAATGAAAAAATCTTGGCATATATTTCTTCTGGATACACAGATCTTGTTTAAGCTTAAACGATACTGATTATTTTTCTCTAAATAAATAAAATAATTAAGAATTGATATTGTGTTCACTGTCTACTAAATAAAGAAGAATGATGCTGTTTATAGAATTAAAGACGCGTATTTCTGAGATGGTGGAGAAAATTTGTAGCTCATGTAGCATACAATCAAAACAAAGGTGCAAACAACGACAAGGTTAAGGTCAACAGCAACCAATCAAGATAGAGGTTAACAGAACAAGCTACACGTCAAACATGGAGAAATTTTGAATACTTCACTTCTATCTGAAGTTTGTGCTGATGATGTTGTTCATAGCTGAAACATCCGGCTCAGAGAACGAAGCAGCACAACACTCGTAATTCTAACCAAAGAGGTACCTACTAGTAACTACTCAATGGTAAAAGCTGCTAAATGATTAGCTGTGTACATTATTAGTTAAGTAGTTTAGTATATATTTAAGTGAGACCTTCATTAGTACAATTAATCTGATTGATTGCATCAATACTTTCTTGTGTAAGAAAAAGATGTATCACTCAATAATATTTCAATAGATCTATTCAGTTCAGTTGAGCTACAATGAAAGAAATATCGAACTGAAACAAAATATTCATGTTTTGTAAAATTGTTTGCAAATTTATTATACATTATGATATTTTTTTCATTTAAGTGAGCTTAAAATTTTATAGATGATAACTGGATATTAAAATCCATCGAGATTTTGTAGTTGCAAGTCAAAGGATCAAAAACAACTCTAAGAATTGTATGCTTATGTTGATAAACAAACGATCATACTCAAGATAATCCTGTAAGAAAAAAGATAGATGGCTAAGTAACATGTGTGTCATAATATATCACTTTCCAAATTTATTTATAACTTGCTTCAGCAGCATATAGATAGTCTCAATATGTATAAACATAGCAATGATTTACAGACATTTACTTCTAAATTTGTCTAATAGTGATTATTTTAAGATTAGTAATGATTATTCATTGTTAATTTGATACAATTAAACTACTGACATCGACTGTCATGTATAGTTTTTTTCGTCTACAAATTGTATACATGCTTATGTCTAGCTATGTATTTTAGTATTGTCTAGACAGAATATAAAAAAATTCTACCAAGAGCTAGTTAAAACTTATATTTTATTCTAAGAAAGTAACAAAACAGACAGTCCATTACTTCCATTAGTATTATCTTTCCCTTTGTCTGTTACCGTTGTACACATGTTGTTAAAGTTACATCTGGTTTTATATTACTAACTAATACAATACCAATCTTAGCATGTATACTGTATTCGGTGAACTCAGTGAATAAAATAAATTTCAGATAGCATTCAACACAAATTTTTAGTAGAATACTTTATACTACTGTAAGTAGGCAAAGATGCATTATAAATTTAAGAACCAATGAATACGGAACAGAACAGTAAGATACTTAGATTTTAACTCAATAAAACCATTTCAGTGTGAATTTGCAAATGCCTCGGGTTTAAAAATTGTTGATGAATTCACAATTGTTGATGATGATTAGCAGACAATCAATACAACTATTTGTCTTCAGGAGATAAAACACAAAATCAACTTACATATTTTCAACTGACTTTTCCTCCATGGTTGGCTTATTCAACATTTGTTTATCTGTATTTTCTTTATGTAACTTCTTCTCCAAGAACGACTTTTCCAGTTTCTCTTCATCATGCTGGCTGGATGTAACAATCTAAGAAAGAAGGGATCAGAGTAATAAAATGAAGGTGAATTAAAACATTTAACGAAGTATGATATCGCTTGACCAGACAATATTGACTATCATTTCAAAAGGGCAAATAAGCCAACAATCAATTCGCCTGAATTATTATACAGTGATCTATTTTCCATTTATTTAGTGTATAGATAAATCTTGTTAAAAAGCAGGGTATTTGCACAATAAAACTTCTCTGATATGCACAATGGTGAAGTATAAATAATCTTTTTTCAAACACCAAAAAAATAGACGAATTCTCGACTACAAAAGTACATAGAATTTGGTTTAAACTACTTCCTATGTTTTCTACATATTCTCACTTTTCCACACTTACAGTTAACGTAAATATGTAAAACACTAAATTTAAGAACAAATCACATTTGGCCAACACATCTAAAAGTTCCACCGCTGTTTACTTTATCTGTTTCATCACATATTGCTCATAACTTCGGTTTTTGTTACTACTTTTAACAGAAAATATATCATACTGAACTAAAGAACAATTTTTTATTTGGATTTGATAAAAATTCACTTATAAATTGATCAACCACTGAGTAATGGTTAGAAGCGATCCTAACAGCCCAGTAGTAACATCCCATTCAGTGAAACTAAGCAACTTAAGTTTGAATTTACTAGAGAGTATCAGTCCCCTCAAGGTTGCATAAACCTCGCGATAATAAGTTCTAACTAGCACAAAACCTAGATCCAGAAACATATCAAAACTAGATTTCCTGCTAACTGCTTTCAACAACCTAACATCAAAACCTATTTAACGTAATTCCGAGTCACTTAGACAAGTGACCATATTGCAAGTTGGTCGAATGGATTCAACCAGCGCTAAGGACTAAACAAATATAATGATCAGTTGAGGTTGTCCGTCCAGATTTAGTCAATAAAATCGGACTTAAAAGTTCGTTACAACATTATTATTATTATTATTATTATTATTATTATTATTATTATTATCATAGAAATAAAAAATACAACTTGACATGAAAATAAATAATATAATGTAAAATAGGTTTTGGAAACTAAAGAAAATAAACATCTGGTGGATAGGAGCGGTAATCTTAGGCATTTGCCTAAATAAATAACATTTTCAGATCTATCTTTAGTCTACAATCATTCTACCATCTACCTGCATTACAACTAATGAAATGAATCAGATTAGTAGCGGGTAATTACTCAGGTCTAAACCTTCATCATGTGAAATCTTCTCACCATTATGAATAGAATTGTTATTGTTAAACAAAATATGTTCATTTCACAAACGTGGACATAGGTTAATATTACCTCTGGTTTATGGGATGTACCATTGCCAGGTAGTGTGTTTAGCCATTGTTTAACTTTCCCAAAATTATGCAGTCCACCCAGAAGATCAGCAGGCACTGATTGATTCCGTCGATGTCTTTGTGAACCACGTCTGTGATGAAGAGATGGTGGGGTACGCTTTGAAGAAAAATTCGATGTTCTATTGTTTAACTGTGAGGAAGTGATTTCTTCTCGATCTGTGATAGATTCTTTGTGTTTGTTATTGTCTTCTGTCTCTAAATCTGATTTTTTTTAAATATAAAAATAAGTTATCTTGAATGCAAATGGAGTTTCAACTCATCGATAAGCAATTCAAATATGTGTATTTTTATGTAAACCGCATTGAAATCAAAGTGTTTATATGTTACAGTAAGTAAATTGTGCATCACTTCATCTTAAAAAATATTGATCTACCTAAAACGAATTTTTATCAAAAATTTCTTTGGTACGGAAAGAAGTTTAAACAGTTTACTTGAAATATTGAGAATTTGAAATAACTCGACTTGATATTCAACGGCTATAGCCAACCAGTATGAGACTCTAAAAACTAACCTCTTCACTCCTAAAAATTGTTGCGGTGTTTGACTTAAAAGTGTAAGTACTCATTATTTGACCACAGAGCCTTTCATTCAGCTTGTTCTTTTAAGTAAATCAAACGTTAAGAACATTCTTAGTAGCTTAAACAAGGCAATTAATCATATCAAACAATTACTCTGTGTATATAATCGACATAATCAAATAAAATTATACTGATTACTTCTTAGAGACTGACTTGTGCATTTGATCCTGAGCTAAATAAGATCAGCATGAGTATGAAGTAAATGCTTTTAATCATTAAAAGTGCACATGATAATATCAATGATGGCGTCTATGGTAAATTAATAGTAGAACAGGTTAGACAGATGGAACGATAATATATATCGGTGATTTATATATTGCCTGTCACTGTTGAAAAAAAGCTACTATTCATGTGTAGGGAGATTCCAGTAGATCATTTCTTTATGAAATATGTACGAATAACATAGTCCAGTAGGATAATACCAAACTCATAAATAAACTGTTATGCTTTTGTGCGCACAGCTTGAAAGACACTAAACGTTGGAATCAGCGTTTTCTATTTCTAGAGATGTTATAAGTTTGTCTACAACAAAATTGAAAATGGAACAGTGGAACAGGTAAGTGATACAAACACTTATATTAAAACGTTGCGCGGAAACCGCCTTTGGTCGCCTATATTTTGCTAATAGACAAGGTAACGTTTTGAAATTTGCGGATATAAATGAACTGTCAGCATTTTATTTTCGCAAACATTCAGAATTGAATTGATTGATCCCTATTTCAATGGCTACTTTGACTCTATAAACTAAAGAATGACCCATCAATACTGGAAGAGATTAGTTTTTGTTTGAACCTCGGCGGAAACATTGATATGGTGGACCCAATTACAATGAAGGTTAACTGAAGTTAGAAACATGGATCATTTGATTCCATCTCAGAAGACAGATAACAATACTCTCACTGCAGGAACCAAAGTCCTTTAGCTTAGTGATATTTGAAACTGTTGTCGCTTACCATTGAAGAGTTCCAAAAGGGAACTAAATATCTGTTTAGTACTTTCTAACTTTTAACAACTTTCATAAAAACAGTCTTCAATACATATTTTCGACAACATACGTCGCATATACCACTGAATACAAAACTAAAACAAATTATATTTATATAATTGAGGAACCAATGACAATCAGCTTTATATTTAGCTAACTTTTTGTACTAACAACCAATTAGTTAATCCACGTAAAATGAACAAATGTTTGTAAGGGAATAAAACGCTAAGTGAGTTACCTGAATTTACTGCACAGGCTTCAAGAGACTTTTTGCAGTGTATTACAGATTTACCATCTGAAGAAACTTTTGAGCCGGATCGTCGACGACTTGTTCTTTTAGGTGGATTATAACACCGTAGACTGATAAGCTTGGATGGAATGCTCGACTTCACTGTTCTTGGAGAAAAAGGTTTAGGGCTAGTAAACTTGTTTCGATGAATATCTAAAACATCTGCGCTTGATAATTGCCTTCGATGAACAGTCTGTAAATATATTTATTTATTGTAAAGAAAATTAACAATTTGAAAGCAATCATTAAACTTTGATAGGAATTACAACTATCATTGTTAGGTGAAATGAAGAGGTCTATATAAATTTCGTACGTCTTAAGTCATTTAGATTTTAATAATCACTCAATTCCAGTAGCGCTCTATATTACTTATCCAGTTGATATTACCTTAAATCAATAACTATGATGGATAGTGTGCATTTACTCTTTATCCTCCTTCAAAACCTTTTAGACAATGACCCAAACGTACCCAGAAATTGTTTTCAAACAGCCTTGATCTGAGATTTAGGATACGTATCGAACTACATTTGAGGTCTTTTAAGAATAAATTCTAAGGCTAGCTTCTCGAAAGTCAAAGACTGAGGTTTAATCCTACACTCTGTAGACAATGGAAGTTTAGTTCAGGACGATAAGGATAACTATGGTGACAGAGTGCCAGATTTTAACTAAGATTAGCATTCAAAATGGACTAAATGATAATACCTTAGCATACTATTCTTGGTCTTGTTCAAATTTCGAATGAAAAACGTCTGGTTGAGCTCACGAAGTTCTCTTCGACTTGGATACTGGTCTATACGTGATAGTTAGAGTACGAATAGATCGTTCTGAGAATCAGTAGTTAACGTAATGTATTTGACTTTTGACTTAACACACAAAATCATCTGCAAACTGTAACTCTTTATTTAAATTGTTAATATTAGTCGTATTTTTTAGACCGTGTACTATATAGAAAACTTAGGTTGTCAATATCATATCCCCGTTGCTTTCTAGTCCTGATAGTTGGATACAGACACTCGTAAAACATCGCAGTATTTCTACTAAATTCATCAGAAGCATATTTGTACAGCCAAAAGAACTTGAGCATATATTTACTCAGACAAAAGTGTTACAAAAATATTCTGTCCACCACAGAGAAGTATCTTTGTCCCATTACGTACAATATAAGACAGGAAATGTTCACGAGAACTACACAAAGTTGCTATCTAGAGGAATAATGGACTAATATCTTTATTAATGCAAGGAGTTTGCTTGTGGAAAAACTCGAATAAACTGAGAGCATAGGAAAAGTGCCAATAGGTGTTTACTTTTTTAAACTTTTAAACCTCGAAATTTTTGTTATGGATTATCGAAAACACTACAATAATAAAAAAGGTTACATGAAGCATTGAAAAGAGAATTTATACTGACTTTGGTGCTAAGGCAATCTACATCCAACCTTCGCAATACCATAGGCTCGCCATTTGAACAAACAGACTTGTCGCGTTTGCGTTTGTCTTTCACAACTTCGGAATGATGCTCACTTGGTCCAAACAGTTCTATCTGTTTCTCGCTACTGTCAAGCACAAATTTTCTAACAATTCTATCAACTTCGGGATCATCTGAAAATGTATTGATCTAAAAATATATCGAAAGAGTGAAAAATATTACAGCGGTTAGATCGCAGAGACTAGTGGTTTCCGCCCTAACTGAAAAGGGTCTTCTATGAGCTATTTTCGATGACTTGCGGTAACCCTTGGCTGGAACATTAAAAGGAAAGAAAACTCACTAGTTGGGTTGTGTGAAAATGAATAAGGTGTTGTATTGTCGATACAGGCTTTTAAAAGCTGCGTTATAAGAAACAATTTACCTTTTACTGACTGAATGTTTCTGTAATGAGCATCCAAATGCTGTTTAATTAGTATCTTTGAAGATACTTTACATTTCAGTGGAAAGATTTCTATGAATTCGAAAATAAGTAGTTTAAATTATCATGTATACCATGCTGAATAGGTTTTAGATCGGTTTTATTATGGAAGCTTATTTCTGTACCGGGCATCGAGGATTTATATAAGGCGCGGAAACAGTATCTCTCACAATATCCTCAGACGCCGAACTTAGTGAAATTAAACATACGTTTACCAGAACCACTAAAATATCATTACGGCTGCATCTATCGTGAAGTCTGCTCGTTTGCCTCATCGAAATGTTATCCATTTTATTTTGTTTGAGAAATATATCTGGAGAAGATTTGTTGGCCTTACCACATAACCGGTCACTTTTAAGAGTATCCTAACGTGGTGGTGCTTCTGGATACTCTTAAGCAACTTATGGCTGATAATTCTTGTTAATAGGTTTTAAATTCTCGGAGGATGGCATTTATGCTAAGCTCAGTTTTGTTATATAAAATCCCTGTTACTTAGCAAGGAATTTTTTGTGGAGTCATATGTGGTAAGAACATGGCAATATCAAGCAAATAATACTAATCGTCAAATTATACATTCCAAGCGGACAAACATATTGTTGTCGAAAAAATCTTCATATGAAGTATTCAACACATTTCTCATGATTTGGCGAGCTTAATATGTAGTACGCCTTTATCAGATCACCTCTGATTCTCTATATATCGAGGAGAATAATCCTAAGTGCTCGAGTCAATCTTCATAAATTTTATTCCTCAACCTCAAACCAATCTAGTTAATCATCTCTGAACTCGATCACTGAGATATTTGTCCCTTTTGAGGAGAGGGGATGTGACGACTTCGTGAACCTACAGGTGTGTACGTGCATATGTCTTAAACAACGTTAAGAATAATTCTGGGCTGATAGCATCAAGTTATCTTCGCAGAAAGTTGAGATTGGCATTAGTCTTGTCTACGTCCCCTATATGGCCCGAACTGGTTTTGAGGCTTCATGTGGTTATTAAACCAAGATCGCGCTCTGAGGAGAGCTCTTAGAGCTCCACTCCAAGGAGCGGACTTCCAATGAGGGTGTAAGTCTTTGTGTCACATGGGACAGAATGTTTAGAACGTACCATTTCAACTGGTTCCGATTTAACCTGCTTTCCACTGCCCATTCCTCGATAGATGTAAGGTCCATTTGAAGCCTAGTTGAATCCTCTTCGCTTCTTATGGACCTCCAGATCTTTGTATGGTCCGCATATAATAATGCTGCCGAGCCAGTTTCGTCTAACAGATCATTAATGAATATCAGGAGGAAAATGAAGCTGAGAGGTACGTTAGGTACGGTGTCGAAGGCTTTTGATAAGTCAAGAAAGATTCTGTGAAGTGACATTTTTCAGTCCTAAAAGGTTATCCAGCTGTTCCGTGCTATGAGAAGATTGGATAAACTTGACCTTTATTCCCCCAAACCAATCTTGAGCTTTACCGAGGATTTTGTTCTCTAAATGCACTCACTCGTTTGCTCATTATCTAGTCCTTTTATTAATATCAATAGTATTACTAGTAATGTGGCTGTTCTGCAGCAGGCTGGACCTACCCTATCTCCTCATTTAAACATTGAAGAGAGAGTAGCGTGTCTCTGTCCAGATGGAAGTTGGTGTGTCTCTAGTGAATGCTTAAACAGGTCACATATCGATGAACCGAATGATTCTAAACACTGTCTAAAGACTATGGGTGAAAATCGTTATATTCTGGTGACTTTTCTGGGTTCAAGGATTTAGTTTTCTGAGTCCTAAGTCAATTTTAGAACACAAACACCCTGGGTCGTAAGTTCTCTTTTCGCTATGAACCTATCGTTATTAACTGTAGCGCGCGTTCAGTGCCTCGTTTAACCTAAGTCCTCTTTCCTGGAGTGTGATTTGCGTGAGATAAATTGTTTAGGAAAGCATTCTGGATGATGCCCCTCACAACTTGCCAGTGACCATAAACTGTTAGCCTCCACTAATCCTGTGGCCGTGGGGAATTTAGAAGCTGTTCTCTCATGTGCATGTAATTTGTCCTAGTGTAGAAAAGATTGAGCTTGCTTTCGTACCGCCTGAGTGTTTTGCATATGACTATGTTATACATGACTGCTCCTTGGTCAATACTTCCTATTGGCGGCAGGACATTAGCATCCTTGATCAGGAGCTGGTCATTTGTTACAAAATGTCTCACATTTGACGATTTTCCATCCTGAATACATGTTCAGTCATTTTGGGACTTTTGATTTTTGTGCGAAGTCGCCTTTGGAACTGACCTACTGGAGTCGTAACTAGTTCTCTGAGATTTAGAGATAAAGTGTTGAAATCTACGGCTAAAGGTGTTTGGTCAAACCCAAGGAGTGGCAACTTAGGTATTATCTCAGTCAATTTATCTTTCTGATCCTTAGTCCTTGAGCTGCGCCTATAAATCCCTCTAGTCAAGTCATGTGTACCATTCGTGTTGAAACAACACCAACATGGTTCTGTCACATCATTTAGTTAGTTGCCGTGTATTGTTACGGTTTTGAAATGACTGTAAATATATATATATATATATATATATATATATATACTCAGCCTACTGTTTTGTGAACCCTATTGCATCAGAAGAGTTTCATGCCTTGCGAGCAAGCCTTGCCTGTCCAGAGTCGTCGCTCACCCCTGTAGCGAAACGAGACTACTAATCGCGAGATAATTTAGTTAAATCCCGTTAAGGCCAAGTATCAAAAGGCAAGTTGTGATTGGAGAATGAGGTGTATCGACTACGGGTCTCGTGATATCGAAGTATTATGAAGACAGTCGAATTGAAAGCAGATAGTTCCGCCAAGGTGACCGAGCAGTGTTAGTAGCACGTCCAGCGGTGGAATAACGGGTTTCGGTACAGTTAGATGAAAGGAGTACAACAAAACAATCATTGTAACAATAAAGTACAATAATAAATGTTTCCATTTCACCAATTGCGTTTTCTTCATAGAAGTAATCCACAGGAGAACATATATTCCTGATTTCTATAAGCTTACCTCTCAGTCCTCTTACGTTGCTATAGAAGTACCTGGTGGTTTGTCTGATCACCTGGTGCATGTCTACAGTAACAGCCATTGTCCGATTTTCAAACAAGTTGTTGTTGCTTGCGTAGTGCATTCAATTGGCGAGACTATGATCTTCGTGTCCTGTGCCGTGGGTTGTTGACCGAGGTCAATTGTCACCACTGTGTGCCTGTTTTTTGCCTCCCTTTTGTTGTTCCATAGATCTAGCTTGGCTCTAGCGAAATCATATGTGATTAGAGAGATCGTTCTTCATGCTGCACTAGGTCTGAAGCGCTTCAATTACGTCCTCCCGATTTCTGAAATTCACTAGGCGTGGAGACTTAATAATGGAAAGTGTGACGGACGAGGCCCTTGGAAAGATGACAGAACAGTAAACTGTTTGTTGCCACACCTGAAGAGTGAACAGTACTTGGTCAATATTCCCGATGAGATGGGATCAAATATCTATCAGCAACAATTTGTGTAATCGTTTTCAGTAAGCAGTCAAAGAACAACGATAATCGGACGGGCCATGCAGCAACCTTGAAATCAGTCAGGTGTGACATTTTAGTGAATGGTGCAATAGCATAGCTAAGTACTGAAAGTACTTATTGGTCGAAGTCACGTCACAAAACCTCATTCATAGATCGAGATCATACGTTCCCTGAATTAAAGTTAAAATTAAAAACTGAAGGATTAGGGAAACAACAATATTGTTCAAGAAAATAATTTGAGGAAACTTTCAAAGTATGTCATAGTCCTCTATGTGATTTAACTCCAGAATGTCAGATAGCCTAAATACCGACTGTTTCGAAACCATTTACACTGACTCCTAAGCACCTTAACTGGAAACAAATCCCCCACATAATGCTGCTTTATCTGACGGATCATGGAATAGGTTGGTACACAGACTAACACTTTGATCAAGCCTATCCGATCAGATATCTTCAAACATATATCCTGTCCCCAACAGGAGTATTAGAGAGGGTTAAAATCATAACTTGTTATATTATTGACGATTCTATTAATACTATTTGGCTACTTTATCATTGAAGCAGCACCTTCAGGTCTTCTAAATGGTGGTAAACCACCAAAAATTGAAGACAAACCAACAAAGATAAGGCAGTAGGACCAGACAATATTCTAGCTGAGGCGCAAACACTAAATGCGAAGATGATCCACACCATTTTCGGAAATATTTGGGAGGAAGAACAAGTGCCAACTAACTAGGAGGAGAGACATCTCTCCACTATTCCAAAGATGAGAGATCTCAGCAAGTATGAGAAATACGGAAGCATCACCCTTCCATCAATACCAGGAAAAATCTTCAACAGAATGCTGTTGAACAAGATGAAAGATTTCGTGGACTCCCAACTTTGATATCGGCAGGCTCCAAAGCCAGAATTTTCAATGTAGACGTCAAAAGAGTTCCACTGTATAGAACAGAGACCTTGGGAATTAACAAAACATCCAAAAGATACAGGTGTTTGTTAATAGTTGTTTACATAAGATATTCCAAATTTCCGACCATTCACCATCAGCAGCACCCAATGTGACAGAGATAAAATAGCTTCCAGGTGAGGAATAAGTCAGGAAAAGACAAATTGTGCTGGATAAGATACTCATTGCGGAAATCGTCAAACTGCGTCACAAGGCACTCTTGATTCGGAATCCTCAAGGTGGGAGGAAAAGAGGAAGACCAATGAACACAAGGTAGTGGAACTTTGATGCATACATGAAAAGAATGAATAGTACTTAGGGACAACTGGAGAGAAGAGCATAGGATAGCCTTTCTCGGAAAACCATGGTCGATGGCCTACGCTACACGAGGAGTACCAGGAGTAAGTAAGTATCCTTTGGAAGTAAAGAACACCTATGAATGTAACCATTAGGGACAGAACGCCAAATAGCATACTCAAATTCCGTGCTAACTTTTCGTGATCAAAATAAAGAGACTGTTGGTATTTTGGAATCGGTAACGAAGTTTTCATATTTCTCTAACTCAATGTAATACTTAAACACATCAAATTTGACTAACAGTGATATTATTATTGTCAACGTTATATTATAGTACGGTGATGTAATATTTCGTATCAGCATGTTTCGTGTAAATTTAATATAAGTTTTGTCTAGTGTAACTAGCAAGAGATGTAAACCAATATAAAAGTTACATTTTGTACGTTAACTTGTGTGAAATTGGAATATGTTTTATAGTATCTGCTCATTTATATCAAGTTTATCAACTAGTCATCATATATGTATACAGTTATAAGGCTTTGAGACACACCAAAAAAAGGGTGTTATTTATGTCTTCTTCTGACACTTTCAGAAAAGACTCGGGGTTTAAATTAATTTCATAGGTACTGGTGAAGATCAGTCCATGTGTTACTACTCAAGATATCGTTGAGGAACAGGCTGTGAAAAATGGTTTAAAACTCAACCCAAAGGAGTGCCACGTCATGTACATTCTGGCACTTATGATGCAAACGATTTACAACCTCAATAGAAATTCGCTCCCAAATGTCTCCTTGGAGCACGATCTCGGTTTAGTAACCATAGAAAGCCTCCACACAAGCCCAAACTATATAGAGGACGCAGCCTAGGCGAATACGACTCCTCACTTTATGCAAAAACAACTTCAGGCTATCGCCCCTCAATTATTCTTTACGTTATTTAAGACAAACGCGCGCCCACAACGTCATTGCACCCCCTCTGCTTAAAAGAGACATAAATCTCTTGAATCGAGTGCTGAGACGAGCAACGAAATGGGTGATAGTGTTGAGGAAAAAACCTTAAGGCGGTGGATTCCAGCACTTGGGGTTTATTCCACTGACATGAGGAGAATAAGGGGTGATACGATTACAGAGTACAACATATTAAGCATGCCAAATCATCCAAACGTGAGCATCTTACCGGTGCGTCACCACCGTTCCCCTCAAGGCAATCCTTGAAAATTTGCCCATCAAAGAGTGAATACCCAGGTTCGTGAACACTTTTTTCTTTTTAAGAGCCGTTGCAACTTGGAATTCTCTCCCAGCGTAGGTGACCACAGCCCCCTCAATGGACAGCTTTAAGAACAGACTTGATGAACACGTACTGACATACGGATTATCGTCTCCCTCGCGAACAAGCTGTGCTTGATGCATGTCTTGAGACCTGCTGGTTGTTATAACTGCCATCTCCTCATATCACTAACTTAATATAGAATCGATGGCAAAAAAATCAATTGGTTTATACTAGCTGGTGAAAAGATATTATACATTAGATATTGGAAGAGTTGGCGGCTTCTTCGCCCATTTTTCTGATCAATTAAACCAGGCGCCTACATGTTCAGAGTATTACGCCAACCCAATGCCAGCTGACGGCTTAGGGAACATCCGTATCACCCCTGACCTAGTATTAAGGAAACTAAAATCCTTACGCCCAGGTAAGTCACCAGGTTGTGACAACATCCGCCCTTTAGTCTTGCAACAGTGCGCTGAAGCCCTCTGTTCACCGTTATGCAACCTCTTCAGGCATTCACTGGAGTCACACCAATTCCCAGCGGAATGGAAACAAGCTACTCTCTCTCCAATCTTCAAAGGAGGAGATAGAAAGGACCCAGCCTGTTACAGACCAGTCGCACTACTACCTATATTATCAAAGGTTATGGAAGGGCTAGTGGACGAACAAATGAGGGAGTACATGGATAAGACTAAAATACTCCATGAAGCTCAACATGGGTTTCGGAAAGGCAGGTCGTGTGCATCTAATCTTCTCATCGCATGGGACAGTTGGACATCCTGCTTGGACCGTAAAATACCAGTGCACGTAGTATTTCTCGACTTCGCAAAAGCCTTTGACACAGTGCCCCACGCACGCCTAATCGAAAAGGTTGTGGAAATGGGCTTCACTGACCCGCTCGTATCTTGGCTCAGAAACTACCTTGAGAATAGAAAGTTTCGCACCCAGGTAAACAGGGTGCACGCGAGTTGGAGAGTATCCACTTCAGGAGTCTCACAGGGGACCATCCTAGGCCCACTCCTCTTCCTGATATTCATTAACGACCTGCTAAGCTTAGTTAGCTCACCGGCACTGATCTACGCAGACGATGCGAAGATCTGGAGATCCATTAGAAGCGAAGAGGATTCGACTGAGCTTCAAAAGGACCTTACATCCATTGAGGAATGGGCAGTGAAAAACGGTTTAAAACTTAACCAACCGAAGTGCCACGTCATGCATTTCCTGCCTCATATGACGCAAACCACCTACTTTCTCAATGGAAGTCCGCTCCCTAATGTCTCCTCAGAGCGCGATCTTGGTTTAATAACCACAGAAAGCCTCCACACGAGTCCGAACTATGTAGGGGATGCAGCCAAGGCAAATGCGACTCTTCACTTTATGCGAAGACAGCTTGGTGCTATAACCCCGAAATTATTTTTAACCCTGTTTAAGACGTACACGCGCCCACACTTGGAGGTTCACAACGTCATCGCACCCCCTCTGCTTAAAAGAGACATTAATCTCTTGGATCGAGTGCAGAGACGAGCAACCAAATGGGTGATAGGGCTGAAAAATAAACCGTACGACGACAGACTCCAGCTCTTGGGATTATTCCCACTGAGCTACAGGAGAATCAGAGGTGACCTGATTATGGCGTACACCATATTAAACACGCCCAACCATCCCAATGTGAGCATCTTACCGATGCATCACCACCACTCCCCTCGAGGCAATCCTCAAAAGATTGCACATCAAAGAGCAAACACTCAGGTTCGTGCACACTTTTTCTCATTGCGAGTCGTCGCAACTTGGAATGCTCTCCCAGCCGAGGTAGTTACAGCCCCCTCAGTGGACTGCTTTAAGAAGAGACTTGATAATCACGTACTCACATACGGACTATCATCTCCCTCGTGGACAAGCTGTGCCTGATGCATATCTTGAGACCTGCTAGTTGTTACCATTGCCATCTCCTCAGATCACTTAATTAATTTAACTCGCCTATTCCTCTCCCTTGCTTACACTTCGGTCCTCTCTCACAATCTTCACTACCAATTAATAAACTAAATTCATCTATATATTACTCAGTTCTGAAATTTTACTCATATTATCATTTTAATTTACCCTTATTACCCTTATTACTCTCCACATTGCAACTAACTGATCTCCGGTTTGGTAATGTGACGGCTGCTAGTATCCAGAAACCCTACTGCCCTGAAACAAACGTTTCATTCAAATCCCGAGACATACAAACTCACAACCAACTGCCAACTGACTAGAATTAGACAGTCGAGTGGCTAGACCTCCATCCATTGGACATTACCGAACACCTGGAACCGTACCGAAAGAACAAGAATCGAGCGCGAAGAAATCAAATTGGTTTACACTAGCTCGTGAAAAAGATATTGGATATTGGATATTGCTGCGCTGCTGCGTGAAGGTTATATGTGTCTGTCGAAAAACATAATTCTACCATGTGATGGAAATAACTGGAAATATGTTAAACGCATACTTATACGCATAATTCAAGAAAAGTTATGTCTGTCCGAATCTTTGCACCTTTTAGACGTCATTGGAAACTTCTTTTGTGGCTCCGTTGACCAGAACGAGCTTGGAAATATTTTGCCTATTCACAACACTTATGTTGGTTTGGGCAATTTCATTTATCTCTGTATGGACATAAAAGAAAGGAAACACTTCGAGTTACATATATTCCCGTATATTATCAATTGTGTTGTGATTAGTGAGCAGCTTGTGTTTAAATATAGATCTTTACAAAGTCTTCGAGAGCAAAGTAATAATTTTTTTCACTCTGTTTACCTAATTACTTTCAGGAAGCCATACACTTATACCTTATGATCTCGTCGCTTCCATCATTGCCAGTTCTCTCCTTTGTCTTTTACCTCTGAACCCTTTATCCAACCAATGGTTAAGTGATGTCAACTTTACATACGTACTTTTAAACATTCTAAATAGGTATGCTTGCTAGTTATCCTAATCTCTTGTAGTCGAACTTCAGAACTAAGGTTGCGGTGTGTAATTTCCTATCTTGACTACTGTCGATCGTCCAAGCTATTATCTTTAAAAGGCCTTGTAATATCACATCGTGTCTGGTCACATTCGGATCTATCGAAATACATATCAACAGAATTTGTGACAAGTCATGACTTGAAGTCGACATGTGGTCGTTTGATGAACGTCCTATCATCTACTCACCTTCCATGTTTATTTGTTGACAACACGCTAACAAGTGATCAAATGGTTTTAAAGACACATCTTCCAATGGTGAGTCCCACTATCATTGTTGTTTTAAGATTAAAAGGTTGAGTTAGTTGTGAGTTTATGGCATACTGAAAATAACTAGCAAATTATAGTAACAGTTCAATGTTGGGTCCTCATATGCGAACCAGTTTATGGCTAAGTTAATAAACATAAATTTGAGAGTTTGATTAATATTACATTTATAAGTAGAATTTCTGGCACTGGTTCTTGGTTATCTACTGCTTAAGACACAGTTTGCTGCCCTTAATAGTGTGGTAAAGCGTATATGTACGAAATGTCTATTAACACTAAAAACTGTGTATATATACTTTCTACCATGTAAAACATACTGCTTTTCGTCTGACCCTTTGAGATAGGTTGTATTAGACAAAGGTGGTCAGTTCGTATCGTTTCTCATTAATCTTTCGGTCACTGATATTATAAAGACACTTCTTTGGGAAATGTGTAGCAATTATGTTGATCTCATACGGAATAAGATTTTAAACACCTTAATGTACTTGGTTTTGACCTGCATATTGTGTAATGATTTGTGATATTTTTGAAATGATTATAAGTGAGATTAGGTCTTCACCCGTTATACAATAATTAAAGACTATTTTAATCGCTAAGCCACTCCAAATAAAATTCACTAGCAATTAAAACTACACGGCTGATGGTTATTTTTAGTGGGTATCGTTCCTGCTGCTCGTCACAAGATGCCAACTGTTCAGCCATATAAGAAACCGCATAAATGATGTTAGTACCAAACCATTGAAAATTCTCAGTCATGTTCGTTGATACTATATACGATCCTTTGTGGATGTCATAGATAAAACTAGTCTTCTGATAAATGACTCATAAAATATTACTGAAATGTACCTTCTGATAAAGTAATGTAGTACACCCATATGACTAGTCCTAACTTTTGTGACACAACATCTGAGTGACAGCCTTCGACAACTCTGTATTCAGCCCACAATCCGGAATTTCTCAGTCATTAAAACACCTTATTTGTAATGATAAATTCTCTATATTTTCATTTAAATACTGTTCGTAATATTTTTTTAGTAATAAACTCATCTCGTCACATTGAATAAGACTTCAGATATCGAAGCAAAAGTCAGTCAATTAGTCAGCTAAAACGTACAACCTCATACAAATATGCATAAGTTCAGGTTGTCATACCACATTAGCACAAAGACGCAATTTTCAGTTCAAACCCCCTAGTAGTAGAAATAGTGGGAGTATTAGCAGTAATGGGGAATATTAGGGTTTGAAGATATTATTCAAGAAGTATAACTCAGTGAGATAAATCTAGAAAGAGAAAGATAGAGGTGATGAGAAATTCAGGAAATCAGAATTCGAGAGAACACAAAGAGTGGATGCACCTGCGCAATAACAAATGATTTCGAGCCATGTCACTCAAGGTCTCCAACCTTCGGTTAGTATTGTCTTTCGGACCCCAACCTAGTACTGAACACTTGCCAACATGACTCAATCCAGTTGTCAGTGACTTTATGTAATTCTCCCATGTTTCAGTTTGGCCGACCCTAGCTTTCTTCCAGCCTACCCCTATACCACAACCATAGCTCGACGAGGCATTCGGTGGTCGGGCATACGTAACACATGTCCCAACCACCTCAACTAATGAAGATTCAGTATTTCATCTATTGATTTGACATCCTGACCCGGTACCTTTTTCCTAACAACTGCATTGTTTATTCAGTAGTCTCAGGATATACTAGCCAATCCTTCTAAGACACCGATGATCTAATACTAGTACCGTACAGATGTCCTATATTCTTTTTGGCCATGTTTCACACCCATGAAGTAGGACGGAGCGAACTGCTGTCGAAGCGAAAGTTGGTTTATAACACTCTTTAGTATGAGATGAACGAAAGTTGTCCGTAGTTATCAATTGTAAATCTCATATTGAGTCATGAATATCACTAAACCCATTGTTTTTAATTCCTTTAATGTTTCTCTACCAACGACCATGCTTCAGTCTTTTTCTTCGATGCAAAGAATAAAATGAATCCTGAAGTCTCCTTTGTCACCATTTCTGATTAGCTGAACAATTTCCCACTTCATAATCCTACCATAGTTTCTATGTTTCTACTTTTGTATAGGGTTTCTATGTTTCTAAATAAAATAATATTTCCTAAATGCATTGTCTAAAGTCGTTTTTTCCAAACTATAGGTTCATTTTATGGGTTCTCGTGTAGGAGGGGAACTACTGAGTGGGGGTATATCGCAAACTGAGTGTTTATTCTCAAAATACCCGGATTTGATTTCTGTTATTCCTTTATGTCCACGTTTGGGGTATGGTGAAACTCTTTGGGTGGACCATGTTCGAGGACCGTTTCTACCTCAAGCTCTCAGTCTTTCTGCACAAACTGGTTACCCTTCTGAAAAGGGTGTTAATTGGCGTCGCTTTATTTTGTTGAGTGGCAATCGGTATCCAGCATGGATGTCTGAAGTTCAATATTCTACGCAGTGTTTAGTTAGAGAGATAATTCTAGTTGCCTCTGGCCTCTTTCCAAATGAATTAAAATACAATACTGACGTAAGTTTGTGAGTAGTTGAAGCTGTTTAACTGCTATTGGATATTGATCATAAAAATTCCATAGTAAAGTTGACAATCATGTTTACTTTTGTCTCAGTAGCCGAAATTACGAGGTATCTAGTGATTCAGTAGCTTTTTATTGCTAGCCGAATTGAATTTTGATAGAATTCTTGATTTCTGAAGTTAGGCAATCTGGCTTTAAAATTCTTGGATCATACGTTCTTCATTCTATAACATTAATCCACGGTCTTTATGTGTATTCATACGTTTGCCAAGAGGTGGTATTAGATTTGTTAAGTGTGAAATCAGAAGAAAATATAATTACACCAGATCGTTTTTCACTATAGACACATTTAGTTTTAAAAAATATCACTCTTCAGATTACCTACGCCATGTAGTATAACTTCAAGGAACAAGTGCTACGATTGGTATATTTTTCTTGAGTCTTTATATTAGTTAAGTTCGAGAAAAACGCCAAAGTAGCTGTTACATTCAGAATATGACTAAAGAACTGACCTTCTGATTATGCATACACTTTAACATGTAATTGCAATATTTCAGTGTACACTTTTCCTGTTTGCTTTCAGCTTATTCGCCCGGGTCTGTTAAGTCGTTTATGGTGGGACTACCTTACTTCAAAACCAGGTAGCTCGATTAGTCTTTTTTATTCGTCGAGTTACATCGTTATTCACATCAGAGATAGCCAGACGATATAAAGAATATTACATTTTTACCAAACTATCAGCACTCGGATCCATAAATTTTAACTCTATTTGTTTTTTCGTAAAGAAGTTTATAATTGGTTGAGTTATGGTTTTTTCAATGATTATTTCTGCTGATAACTTTCAGTGTATTAATTCGTTTAAACAAGCGATACATTTTTCATATGCTGTATACTAATATAAGATTAGCAATAACCTAAGCTTCAATAAAGAAACTTCAGTAGAGCACCTGATTAGTTTTAGTCCGTTTCTCTAGAATCTTTAGTCTACACTGCTGGTTAGGGAAAGTAGTGTTTAGTTTTTCGCGGGGTTTCCCTTCTGCTATTAATCCGTAATGATCAGTAATTGTAGTTTATAGAAGCATACATCATACTGATTGTTATTACAATAAAGCTAGAACATTTCGTTTGCTGATATTATGGATAATTTTAGAAGTTTTGCATCATTACGTCTCATAGAAAATGATTAGGGTTGGCTAAACCAAAAAATGGCACAAATCCATGAAGTCACTGACAACTGAACTGAGCCATGTTGGTAGGTGTCGACTACATTGTTGGGGCCCGCGAGATGATAGTAATCGATGGTTAGCGATCTTGAATGACATGGCTCAAAACCGTTTGCAATGGCGCAGGTGCATCCATTCATTGTGTCCTCTGAGATCTTAATCTTTTGAATTCCTCATAACCGTTCTTGTTCTCTTTATTGAATCGATTCCTCTGGGGTATACCTCTTGAATGATATGTTCGATCATTAATCTTTTTGATTACTGCTAATACCTGTACCACCATGGGATACAAATTGACGATTCGATCTCTCTGTGCTAATGTGGTATGGCAACTTGAACTGATGTACGTATGTACAAAGTTCTACGTTATAACTGACTGACTGACTGATAGTAAATAATGCAGCTCGGTAATCATGAATAAATTTAAATGCTAACTCATGAATTGCATCATTTTTATGATTGGCTTATTGCTTAACATCAAACATCATGTTTTTAATCGACTGAATCTGAACTCTACATTAATAACATTTTCAAAGGGGTAGTAAAATATATCAATCTCAGCAACAGCACAATCTTTCTCTGCACATACCAATGAATTCTGGAATAATTATGATTTCCTATATTAAACATCCTTTGTACTGATTTCTCCAAGTAATTTTAATGCATATATTCAAATCAACATCATATGTTTGTGTGGTTCTCTCTGATTTTCAGGTGTTCAGTCGCCATATACAGCAAACAAACTAATTCAACCATTTAATTCATCAATTTACCCTTGTAATAATGACATTAAGGTGATAAAAACTGGTGCTATTAATAATATGTTACAATTCGCTGATAAATTCGTATGTGGAATGATGAATGATATTCAAAATACCATAAAAATGATGCAAATCAATAAATCGCCTCATCGTAATGTAAACAAACATGATTCATTATCACCAAGATCTCAGACTACAAGTGAATATAGATTATCAGTTCAACCTACCTTAAATGTAGCAAACTCTATGTTGAATATAAGTAAAACAGATAACAAACTGTGCAATAATGTTGACCGATCTATGACAAATTGTTTTGATTCTAGGTTTGTTAAATTATTTTCCCTTTTATTTTTATAAATCATGAATTAAACATCGTGTCTAGCTATAAAAAATATTTAATTAAATATTCTGTTGACCATGCTAGTTAAGATGATTCTGTCACACAGGAAAGAAAAATTTGTCAGATCGTAACAAAATTCAGAGTTTATTAGTTTTGTATTGTCAAATATATCACAGGAATTATAGGTTGAAGGATAAATCAATCATCTCACATATTATATTTTGGTTTATCGATATTTATATGTCTTTTTATAAATAGTCACTTTCCTATTTCATATTTATAAGGAATTTGACACTAGAACACAGCACTCTATACTGTCTAAGTGGTAAGAACTCCTACTTTCGAAAATCTTTTTCTGTGAATAATCACAGATAAATATCTCCTAAGTTTTATTTTCATTCATCGATTTTGTTCTCAAGTTAATTCAAAAAAACCACCTCACTGTCAGTAGCATCAAATTTTCATTCATGTACGGAATTTGTTCATAATCATGTTAAACGTTTCTCGCTAGTTTTTAGTTGTGTTATCCATGTCTTACCCGATATTGAGATTTAAAAGCTACCAATGATCACTAATTCCATTAGACTAGATTTTCAACTTCGTTTCCAAGTCATCAACATTAAACTTCACGTGTTACCAACCAAAACTCTAGCATATATATAATATATATATATATATATATATATATATATATATATATATATCGTACTTCCAAGACATTTTTACGTATACGGGATATTTTAACTGTATAAAATTCATTGTTCATGGTTATAAACTCAGTGTCTTATGAGGAACTAAAGCTGCGTGAAAACGCGTTTAGTTCCAATTTAACACTAAATTATGCTTTAAGGCAGGTAGTGCGTCTGTGGACAGTCTTTTAGAACATCTAAAAGTAATTAGACCACAAATGAAACCGGACAATATATATATATATATCCTCGATGGTTATTATTCTAATTTGATATTGTTTACTAACTTTTTTTGATTATCAGAAGACTGGTGAAAAAGATGAAATATTTTCACGTCGATTTTCGCGAATAGTTAAGTGTAGGAGTTTATAACGTTCTTATCATGACTTATCAATAACATTATTGACTCAGTTTTATGCTACACATACCTTGTTGCCGTATTTCTCGACATAATTTCTATGTATACCTGTTTAAACATGAAAACAAATTAATAAAACTTATCCTAGCTAACGGTCAGTAATTATATAATCTTTGTTGCTGCCGTAATTAGAGCTAGTGTCAATTGTATTTTGAATATATGAGAGGCAGTTTATCTCACAGATTCTCCTCCTTCAAATCTTGAGTTTCAATACTTCCTCGTATATAGGTTCTTTTCATTCCTAATTCTCAAACAATACTCTCAATTCTCATTAACATGGATACTACCACTATTTGAAATCCTCTACTATTCATCTTCATCATTTCATCTCATGCTGATGTTGAATATCAATTTAAACTGATATACATTTGTGTCAGGCTCAGTGTTGTTCAGAATAGATTGATGAATTGACCTAAATAGAAAACCATTGAAAACTGGCACCAAATCGAGCTGCCCTTTCATAGTATGCAAACTACTCAGTAATGGACACTCATAGCCACCCACCTCCTCACTAAAAACCGAAATAAAGTAGCTTAATCAAGTTATTTAATCAACACTTTTTAATTGTAATAGCTTAACTACTTATCAAATAAATAATCTATTCCTTTTTGTGCTCTTCTCTTTACAGAAATGCAATCACCTCGAATCGTTTACCTCAAACTAACTGTATTGAGCATCCAAAAATCAACCAACCAATTATTTCTTCTCATTATGCTGATGATTTAGTAGAAGAATCTGTAAAATATGTACGCCATTTCTATTTAATTAATTGTATAATCCTCATTTGTTTCTGATACTGATTAGGAAATGTATATTTTGTTGGTTTTTAGGAGATATACTTTTGAAGTGATTTTCATCATGAATGAATATCTGCTAGATAACCTTTTCTCGTCGAGTGGATTGCACACGAATAGTATACAAAACTATTGTTGTCAGCGGCTTCCATTACTCGATAGTTCCCAAATGCCCAGGTGCGACAGAGTGTGGGGATAGTCCACCCTCATATGGTTACGCGTACATAGCCACTGCCAGAAAAGTGCTACTCACTCCCTCCTCGTGGCAAGAGTGTTGTCTATTCAATAAAAAGGATGTCTGGCAGAAGCTAAATCGGATTAGTGGGTACTAAACATCCAGCTAGAGGAGTTGGAAAACCTTGATACCAAGCCAATGGCGCCTATGGGCTCCAAGATCTTGTTGGAACCAATGGTGTATGAACGTATTGATGGTCACTGGCTACCCCGGGACTGCATCTCCTAGCGTTGCTCCACTCCCTTGTGGAGTTACACCCTTAGAAAACCATCTGCTTCAGTTTTGAAACTGACAATAACTTAGTGCTCACGCAAATTCACTGATTTGTGTGGTCTTGACCTTTGAGGCGGAACTCAACGGTGTTAATGTCTAATATTCTCCTCAACCCTATAATGACAATTATCATGTGCTCACTTGTGACTAGCTTCGTAAGGAAATTCTCGGAGTTCTAGTGAGAAACTGTGATCAGCGGGGCTCAACCCTGTCGGGTGCGAAGCAGTTACCCATCGAAGACTATGGCCGAGGTCGCGCAATATAGCAGGCTGATTGAAATTAGACATAAACACAGTTGACTACTGGCTTAGTGGTCTACAGATTAAGTGTTCACGCGCAAGGGTCTTGGATGTGCGCTGTCGATGAGTCCCATACTAGGCTGAAGCAACCGTCCAGTGTTTCCAGGTTCCTAATAGTGGTCCAACAGTGATCGATTTATGATATCAATGAAACTCAACAATCTCCACAACTCATAATGACAATTTAGTGTTTACTTAATTATTATATGTGTACGTATTTTATCGCTTGGTTTTGGGCCTCTAAATTTTTTTATTAAATAGGCTCAACAATTATCCAGTTTACATAATCATCATTTGTATACATATGTTGACAAACTAATTGATAATGCATTCCAAAATGCTAGCAAGTTAATGAATTGGTCAAATCAATTGTCTAAGCAAATACTTAATGAAGTTCAATATTCACATGTTGTCCATAATCATAATGAGTTTAATACTATGCATTCAATGATCAATGATATGGATAATGAATTTAATAAAACAAACTCCAACACTGATACCACCAATGACCGGTTACATGAAGATGATCGTGTAAGTGAAAAATCTGCGCAACATCAAATCAATCAACAGGACAGCTTTTTTGAATTCGATGAGAAATACTCCATAGAGAATCAAACTGAGAGTCAATCCCATCAAATCCCAACTAAGTGTTCATCTCCAGAATTATGTCAGATATCTTCAACAAAACTAAACAATTCTTTATCAATTAAGGTAATATTTGTATTTGTTGACAATTACTTAAAATATCTAGTTATTTCTTTCGGAATAAATTTAAATATAAACTAGTTATTATTGTGATTGTATACGTGCTCATATATCGATTGTTTATATTTTTCGAGTATATCTAACTGTTAGTGTTGTCATTTAGTAAATTATGTAACAACTATTGGAAAACTTAGAACAATTAGTTAAGGACAACTAGACAGAAAAAGAAAGTTGAAAGTTGTATCCACCCAGTAATGGAATTAGGATCAATAAAAATGTTTACATTCATATTAAGCGACTGATCGTGTTGTAATGATCATTTAAAGTAATATTTAGAAATGATCTTTGTCATTCATGAAGAAATTGTGTGGAAAGAAGTATGGAATAACTCAGAGGTGCTGCAAAATTAACGGAAGCCACAACCAACACATATTTATCAGTTTAATAAATGCTAGCTAATAAAGATGATCTTTAAAGTTTTCATTCGACTACCTCAAATAACTCTATTTACTCACCTTTTTTTACACCCACAACTTGAACTGATGTACGTACGTACGAAGTTCTACGTTGTAACTGACTAACGTCTACACCTAGTATGAATTTCAGATTTTGTACAATAGCAGTCAACATCTGGGTTACTCTCTGTAACTCCGAATCAAATTTAAATGGCAGCACTTTTGTAGTGTGCACATTCTTTTTCTATATCTGGACAAAATATGTAGGCACGAGTGACTTTTGCTACTTACTGTGCTTCATTGATCATGTCTTTTAGTTTCAATCAATCAACTCAATATCCCGTCACTAGTATTATACCTCTTTTCTCTCTTCACTAATATTTACTAGTCTACTGTTGAAATTATTGAATCGATTGTGTGTATAGAAACTGGCTAAATTTGTAGGTTATATTCGTCACAAATTGGATGCATAATTCTGAGAAATCTCATGCTTTATCCAAGTTTATTGGAAGAGAGAGAATCTCTATATAAAATATCAAGTAATCTTATTTTATAGCGTACTGTTATAATCTCATAAATACTCATCAGTACTTTGTTGTATTTTTCACAGTTTATTGTACATTCAATCAATTGCCTATTAGTCAAAAGGGTTATATTAAACGTTACACGCTTTACACTTTTGTGTAAATAGCAATGCAATTCATTAGTTAAACTCTATTTACCTGGATTTTCCACCGTTCATTACGAAGTAATTCTTGACGAAACAGCTGCCTAGTATTACCTAAGCTGTGTTTTGTTTATCACTAAAAGCATTATCAGTTGTATACCAGTAGAAGAGTACACTGTTCCTCAGTTTTCTCAGACCTAGCAAACATGACTCTTAAAAGTGAAAGTTTGAGAGAATTTCCAGTATTTTCTTGGTATTTAATTGCTGTATGATAGGGCAAGTTTTAATTTTGACCGTAGGGTTTTCCGTAAGATATGTAAACCATGTCGATAAATCCTGACAACTATTAAATAATACTGTTTTGAATTCCATTTTCTTAGTATAACAACTGTCTTTCATTCTTTCAGGATACAAATGATCTGTACATGAAGACACATTTAACTAATAACCCTGAAAATTGTATGAATTCTGAAAATCTCTCCATACAATCTGATTCGATTATGAATGATCTACCTCGCATTTTCATTTCAGAAAAGCTTTCCGAATTTTCAAATAGTATAGCTGTACAATGTCTCATTTCAGCATTTGGAGAAATTTATATCCGAAAAATGTCTTCTCATTTGAATCATGTACGTTGCATGCTATTTTCACTATCAGTTTAAAATCTCAATGAGGAAAATTTCTACTGACAATCACTAACTATGTACGATTTTATGTCATAGACAATTAGGCAAATTCATTACATCCGTGTCTATAATATTATTATTATTATTATTATTATTATTATTATTATTATTATTATTATTATTATTATTATTATTATTATTAGAATCAATCATTTGTACAGATTACTCAGTTTAAAGATAGACAATATAATGAACTGACTTCTACTTCGGAAACAGGAAGCTATATAATATTAGTTCGTGCTGATCTGAAACTCTTCAGTAACAATCTACATCAATGACCTCACCAAGGATTAAGCTCAGCACCTTTGGGCATCACCGTGAAGAAGGTTACATTTAGATTACTGAGTCATAATCCAGTAATTCACATCAATAACGGAAGTAGTGGCCAGACACTAAGTCATTTATTGCAGACCCACTGTCTCCACTTTTGTTTGAGCAACTGGGTAGTATCACTAGCTATCATACATGGAATATGGCCTAAAGTCAAGTAAACGCGTTCTAAATGAGTTAAATCTAACTTCAGTCAGTATTTATCATTGGCTTCTCAGATAACTGAATCATATCATTACTTATTTATTGAAAGTATGTATCTTCTATTCTTCTATATACTTTTATAGAATCCACCAATGAATACAACTTCTGACTTCATCATCAATGATGACAAAGATCAAGATTCATCGGAATTAAATCAATACAATCATTCGAATATACGACCTCCAGGTTTAATATTAGACTGTGGATTAGAAAAATATCCATCCAACTATTACGCAGATCCACAATTACGTATTTTAATCCAATGGATATCAGCTACACTAGTTTATAATTCACCTTGTTCTAAATTCAGTTATTTAGATAATAAAATGAAATCATTATCAGATAACAATAATACCTGTGACAATGATATTTTAAACAATGAATTAAAAGATTTCAAAGATGAAATTTCCATGGAACACTCATGTTCACCATTGGTTTGTTGTACAAACGGTAATTCAGAATTGAAGGAGGTAAGTTATTAGCAAATAATACTTATTCAGTAATTGTTAGGTAAAACAATGATCTAATAGTTACTGAGTGCTTGACTTTCAGCCATAGATTTTGTTATGTTCGTCAATTGCTATGCTTGAAACTATTACGAGTTCACCTTAGTCGATAAATGAGAGCAAAGACAAATGATCCAATGACACAATAGGCTACTCTAATCCGTTATCCCAAGACCTGCTAACTATACAAAAAGTCTTGATAAGGCGTAGAAAGTGTATTCTACAAGCACCCAGAAAATATGAGGTTCACAAGCACACAAATCGAGTTTATTTATGTATCATAGAAACGTCCTTGGGAGAGCCACAAAAATAGCTTACTAAAATAATACATCAACCAATGACAGTCAAGGATTTTCCGGGTGGGAAATGTAATCTCAAGGTCAACTGATCAACCCATGCTCGAAAGCATAAAATCCAAAATTAGGACCTTTATCTAGTGAATTCTGGGGATCTAACGTCCCCAACAAATTTGATACTTAGAATTCTGTTCTATTCACTTTAATGTGAATAGTTTGTTATGACCATTATCAGGGCAGTTTGTGATTTAGTTTAAGATTCAACAATTTAGAATTATCTTGACGTTTTGATGATGTTCACACCTCTTTTAAATCCCTTTAATATGCTTAACGTTTCACCATAGCTTGCGATTGAAAAAAACATTGTTATAAATTGATCGAACACCAGAGTACATTTGGTGTCCAAGTAATTCCTGACGTAATAAGGTGTAAGTTTGGCGGAGTTGATATCGGTCTAGAGGTAGTATTTACACGCTAAGTTTTTCTGTTTCAAATAGCAATTTAAAATAGCAAATAATCATTACTGAAAGTCATTTTTCCAAATATCTAAGATTAAATTACATCGTAGTTCTTTCGTTCAAATGTCGTCGGTAACTTTTACTCTCTTTAGCTTTAGATTTCAAGAATATTTCTCAATCATAAATGTTCATCTCACAATCCTTTATTTATCTTGTCAGCTTTTGTAGTCTTTCTACAGCTTCTAGCTGCAACCACAAATCTACCATTTACCTAGTAAACAAAAGGTCACAACCGGTAATTTGACTGATATATTGTTTGCAATCGGATCACAAATGATATGTACGTGTCTACTAGTGAATTGTCTGACTTTTATAGTAGTCTCAACTTCACTTTTAGTTAAAGATCGTAGTAATTCATCATCTTCACTCAGGTATCGATCGATACCCGGTTTAATATCTAACATTGTTTGACGAAGTTGAAGCTTCTTTCATTTGAATCGCCGATCTTTCTAATTTTATTTTCTGAGCATCATAGAACTTCTGTTCTTGCAGTCAATGTTAGTGTTAATTCTACAGCAGCATCCAACTACACAGTTGAGATATGGATGTAACCGAAGTTCAAAAACAACGATTTATCTAAAGAGACAGTCTGATCATTACGAAATTTATATCACTTGGTTACAAACTTCAGTTCATGAAGTATCCTTAACGATTAACATATCTGTATGTCTGGAAAGAAAAGACTTCCTATATTTATAACACAAACATTTATTACAAATACGATGGCATTATTTACAACTGTTATCTGTGTCTATAGTTAATAATGCCTATGAACATTCAAAATGAGCACTAAGAACTCACAAATATAAGTGCGGCTTCATTTAAAGATTAAATGAACAAATAAATGCTGGAAATAACTGTTACAAGGGTTGATCAAATTCGATTTAAATAACAAATAAAATAAATGTTGTTAGTTTATATTGATACCTTAATATATTACACGTCAATAAATAGGCATTACATCATACGTTCAGGGATTACTTGAGATGTAACTGACTACTAAGTATTTACAAGTAGTATAACTCGATAAACAAAAGTTAAGCAAAATAATACGAAAATAAAAGATAAAGAATGCTTGAGAACTTAACTGTGTGATTAAAAGCATGATTTGTAACTAGGCCATTTCACCATGATTATTAAGCAGTATTCTGATACGTCCAAATAGGTTTGTCCAATTTTATTAGTATTTATCATTCGAAGTATTTCTTTGATATGTATTGATCTGTATATAAATTCCTAAGCAATAATTGTGTGTAAAAATGTGAGTAATAATTATGTAAGTTACTGAATATTAGTAAGTAATATAATGTGGTAGATCGAAAATGAAGAAAAAGGAACTAGCAGTCGCAATCGTGAATTACTATACTACTGTACCAAAGCTTCGCTTTTAAGATGAATAAATACGGTACAAGCAATGTGTTTAATTTTCATTAAAATTGGCCAGTGAAAAGATTATTATATTCGTAGAAGTCTTTTGTGTTATTAATAATTCAAAGAGGTTTTAAAAAATTACCCAAATTTAGTGACGCTTAGCTATATTATTATGCATAAGCTTCCTTCGGTTCATTTATTTTTGTTAGATTTAGTGAATATGGTCGATTTGGATACCTGTATCTATTGTATGTCTTGTTTATTTCTCCGTTATTAGCTTCAAACCATTGTTTCATTGGTACACAAAGCTTCATGGACTGCTAAAGATTTATTTTGTGCAATATTAGACTATTTTCATTATCGATCTGAACATTTAAAGCTTTCAACTACTGCTACAAATGATGATAACAATTTTATTCAATCACAAAAAGATAACAATAGGAATTATTGCGCAATTGGTTTCGATTTTCGAAATCTATCCATTTCCAATGAGAAATCAAAGCAAACACTCTTATCGCTATTTGATTATCTTATTCAACAATTTCATATTGTTAAATGATGAATGGCTTTCATTTTGCCTGAGTACAGTCAATATGTACATAGTTCTGTCTATTTGTGTGCATATGTATGTGAGATAGAAATAGAGAGAGAAAAAACTATGATAGTTTTCAACTTTAGAATCATTTTGACAAAAATAATTCTTACTTTGATTTTGATATAATTATTTATTATTATTATTATTTCAGAATTTTTTGTGTTCATTTTAATTAAATATTCTCTTTAAAAACAAATATTTAATGTTATTTTTTTAAATAATAATAACATTGATATGTAATTAATAAAACGGTGACAAACAAATTATTATTTACTTACTTACTTCAGTTACCCCCAATGGAGCATAGGCCACTGCTGATCAGTATTCTCTAACCTACTCTATTCTGGGCCTCCCTTTCGAGTTCTGTCCAATTTTTTTTCATTCTTCTCATGCCTATCTCCATCTCTCGGAGTAATATTTTCCTTGGCCTTCCTCTTTTCCCTTGACCTTGAGGGTTCCAAGTGAGGGCTTGTCTTGTGACGCAGTTTGGTGCTTTCCTCAATGTGTGTGCTATCCACTTCCACCGCTTCTTCTTGATCATTTCCTCCGCTTTAATCTGGTTCGTTATCTCTCAGAGTAGGTTTTTGTTGATGGTGTCTGGCCGGATTATGGCTTAGGTAGTTTTTCAAGTATCCACTCCATACAGTAGAACTGCCTTGACATTTTTATCATAAATTGTGACTTTCGTATTTGTTGAAAGTTATTTCGAGTTCCAGATGTTGTTCAGTTGTAGAAATGCTGTCCTTGCTTTGCCGATCCACGCCCTCACATCTCCAGATTACGTAATAATAAAATTAGAAATTCATTTGGAATATGAATAATTCGATGTATGTCGATATCAGTACCGAATCACCTTCAATTAAATCACATAAGTATGTCTGATTCTTTTGTAACGAAACATGAGTAGTAGTAGAGTAGTCTGATTGTTGTACCTTTTAGTTGCTTGTTCGGTAGAGAATTAATTTTTTTTCAGTAAATAAATATTGTGTTTTTTTTCTGTTGTATGATGTATATCCTAAAAAACAAAAGAGTTTTTGATTATGTGCCCTCTAGTTTAGTTTATAGTATAGTTCAATTACAAATAATCTCGTGAATATATTCTCACAAAATGGATAGACAATTAAAGTGAACAGTTTTCAATCATATAGTCTTATAATGATTCATCATTTATAGTGTCGGTAATTTTTATGTTATCCACTCTACAAATGATTAATATTGCATGTATAGTAAACTACTTAATCATTCTGTCGTAGTGAGACTTACAACCAATTTATGACATAGCTTAGTCCACTTGTCAGTGACGTCATGGATTTGTCCCATGTATTAGTTTGGCCGCTCCACAGCTTTCTTCCAACCTACCCCTACACCATAAAACATCGCTCGTCGGGGCAGTCGATGGTTGGGCATACGTAACACATGTCCCAACCACCTCAACTGATGAAGTTTCAATACTTCATCTATTGATTTGCCACCCCTACCTAGAACTCGTTTCCTAACAACAGCATTGCTTATTTGGCTGTCTCAGGATACATGAGCAATGCTTCGGAGACACCTATGATCGAAATCAAGGAACCTAAGAATATCTTCTAATCTTACCGGCCACGTTTCACAGCCATAAAATAGGACGGAACGACCTGCTACGCCGTAGATTCATCCTTTGGTTAGAAGACGGCTATCTCGCCTGCGCCATGGATGACGCAAGCTGGCAGGAGTCAGTCAAGCCTTCTGTATCCGTGCTGAGATTTCTTCAGACTCCAGGTCATCAGCACTGATGAGACTTCCGAGAAAAGTGAAGCGTTTGACACGCTCAACTAATTCACTCCCTATCAATAGTGCAGATGCCGATGCAAGTTTTCTGATGACCGATCATACTGACAGTGTTGTTTTTATCCAGAAATCAATCAGATGTGTATCATGCTTCGTGTGATTAAAAATTATATCGCTTAGTCACCTCATAAATAAGTCAATACTTTTTACGAACCGTATTCTTTTAATTTCAGAAGGGATAATATATGTGTATCTACTGTGTGAGTTTTCAGATTCATGTTTATGGCTACAATTGATCAGTCTCCTTGTCATATATCCATCCTGTGTGGATTTCCTAAATGTTGCCTTTAAGTTACAAGTAGTATAAGCAGATGTGCACAGGATACACATAAGCCAAAGAGACTAGTCAATTGCAGTCCTAAATATCAATGGGGATATTCAAACAGCCAGTATAAATGAATTAATCTCACCCCATTGCACAAGTGACTGACTATCTGGACTCAGTATCTAAGTTGATAGCGTGATAGCATCTGAGGCGTAAAGTACTAGCTTCGCATCCTAGAATGAGCATCAACTGTGGGTATATCAAGCTGACGAGCCCCAAATAGGACGAAGTGCGCGTCCCGGATTCCAATGCTAGCCATTACCCACCTCTGCTAAGGAATGGATAGTATTTCTATCCACTTGGTTATGGTTTTTGATAATTCTACTTGCTTATAGAAAAGAATTCTGAACACCAAATATACGATAGGTATGCATATTTTAAAACAGTGGTTAATTACCATTCGTATGCATTTGCACACTTTTCCAAATTAAATGTTGATTTTAAACTGATTACTGGTGATTTAAATCTTCCTGAAATAAGTTGGAAGACAGACAGTTAGTTGTCCACAGAGATACGAAGAAATAGTAGCCGCTAAAGACATTCATAGTTGAAAACTGTATATCACACAACCTATATGTGGCAACAATATCTTGGACATGCTGTTCTGTCACAGCATTATACTAATAACAACACATATCGACAACGTTCTCTGCTAACGAACATAAGGTAGTTTATAGTTCCCTATCAGTCAAAACACTAAATACGGAGTTTAAAGAATATCCACACCGAACAAGTATACGATGTTTCAAGTTTGCATACTATGAGTTGTTAGTGAAACTTATAAAATGCCCTGACATAACTCCACACTCTTAAAGATTTTTCATACTTGCGCTTAATATCTGAAACTTAAGAGTGTATGGCTATAATGTTCTCGGAATGACAGTAAAGTAGGCCTAAAACAGTCTTATATCATTTCTGAGTAAACACATGCGTAAACCGAAGGATATCCCTTTTATATCCAGGACGACATAGTCTATAATGACCTTACAGATAAATGCGAAATATTTAGTAACTTCTTAGCATGTTTTACTAAAGAGCAGCAACCTGTTAGATTCGGATATATAACACTTACATCTAGTAACTGTGTTAGCGTATCTTTCAGTGATGAAGATATACCTGAAGCAGTAAAGTTCTCAAGGCCACAACAGATTTAGGAACTGATGCTATCCCCTCAATATTTTTTAAAAGATTTAGTGTTGACACGTCACTCATACCTCAAAATATTTGCCACGTCATACATGTGTAAAACAGGATGGGTGGAAGACCAGTTACATTATCCTACAATCCGAAACTGGGAGCAGAGCAAATACTGTTAATTACGGACCCGTTAGCATCACTCCAGTTATTTCACGAGTCACGGAGAAGGATGTAAAAAAGGGCATCTGTGATTACTTACTAACTCAAAATCTTATCTCTAAATCACAACTCGGTTTCCTAACAGTTAAGTAGTGTATGACTTGACACTTTTAGTTCTTCAACTACGTAACACAATGTTACGAATCACATGAAATAACATTAATCCTTTATTTTGATATCTAAGGCATTCGATGATGTATCCCATAGTATAATATATATGATGAACTATATTCTATGGGAATCCTCAACCCCTTACTCGATTGGATCAAATTATTCTCAGATGATCGTTGCCAAATCACGAAAGTTAACTTCAAGACATCAGCACCTGGTGGGGCTCCACAAGGGAGTATGCTAGGCCCTCTTTAATTTGTAATGCACACAATGGCATTTGGTGTTGCCTTAACTTAAAGAAGACTTTCCTATACGCCGACGACCTTAAAGTAGTCTGTTCATGCCACAGAGATGGAGTGTACAACATCGCTAATTTTAAACGAGATGCCATTATGGTTTAAAAAGTACCATCTTCACTTTAATATTAACAAGTGCGCCTGGATCCATATCAACTGCAGCAACTGAGGACTCCATTTTGAAGTTAATAGTAAGCCAATATCCAAATGTGATGCTGTCTTGAACTTTGGCTAAAGATTCTTTCTTGGAGACCGATAACAAGAAATGCCCGAATGGATTCAAATATCCATTGTTTTTTCTAATTCTGCGGAAACTGTAAAACGGTTGTAGTAAATATTGACAACATCTCACTTTTGTAATGCAGCTGCCACAAAACACTCCATGTTCTTGCGCCTTACATTTTGATCTTATCATCAATAGTTCTCTGATCCTTCTTGCTTAGCAAAACTCTTCATAACGAGTCAATGAAATTCGGTAAACCAGTTTCCTGGGAAATAAACCGTGACATATGTAACAATCTGATCTTACGCATCAATTGGCTTACTCCTTATAGTGTTACTCGCATTATATCTCTTTCCATCTCTGAATATATTCAATTGATGAAATCTTGAGTCATCGTCTCTGAAATTCTCCAAAAGGTAGAGATAGAGGAAAAGACATAGACCACTGTGATGACGTTTTTCAAGAATCTAAAAATTATTTTTGCTAAAAAAAATTTAAAACACTTTATCAGAGCCCTTATGTACACGCATTTAACAGATAGAGTTAGTTAACAAAGGTAAATCAACAACAAGGTAATTTATTACGGGGTTGTGAATATTGTTAAGTTACACATTTGAAATCATGAATCGACCAAAGTTAGACCACCATTAAAAACCTGGAAGCACTGGACGGCCGTTACATCCTAGCTCACTGGTCCAGAGGTTAGGCGTTCACACGCAAGACCATAGGTTCTGGTTTCGAATCCTGCGAGATGCAGGAGTCATGGCTACGCACTGCTGATGAGTCCCTAACCAGGACGAAACGGCCGTCCAGTGCCCCCGAGGTT